GGAGGACAGGTACAGAAGGGGAGGAGGCAACAGGTACGGAAGGGGAGAGGAGGAGCGGTACAGGAGGGATGATAGCCTGAGGGACAGGGATGATAGCTTTAGGGACGCGAGTGGGAGGTTCAGTGACAGCGGGAGGTATGGGGAGAGCGGGAGGTATGGTGATGATGATTTTCAGACAGGGAGATGGATAGGGAGAGGGAGCGAGAGAGGGAGAGGGGAGGGAGCGAGAGAGAGAGGGCGTGACACGGAAGAGAGTGACATTGACAGGGAGGTGGATAGGAAGGCTGGTGGCAGGGATAGGAGCAGGGAGAGGGAGAGGGAGAGGGAGAGGGAGGAGGGCAGAGAGTATGGTGGCGGAGGCAAGAGTTCGAGGGAAGGGGACTCTGATTTAGACCCGGATGGAACCCGCGGTGGGAACGAGGAGAAGGAGAGCTCTCCTTCTCGCCGCCGCAGCAGCAGTCCCGGGAAGGACAAGGAGGAAGAAGATGAGTTTTTTGAAGCGGCTCAGGAAGAGAAGTCTGGAGATACGGTGGCTGGTGAGGGGCAGGCAGCAGGGGCGGGTGGAGATGCTGGGAAGGAGGATGGCGTTGAGAAAGTGGAGGATGGGGAGAAGGGAGGCGAGGAAGAGAAGGGTGAAGAGGTAGGGAGAGAGTGTGGCGGATGGTGGGAAAGGAGTGGAGAAGGAGGGTGTGAAAGAGATTGAGGTTGAGGGTGGTTCAGGGGATGAGCCGAGGGTGGAAGGGAGTAAGAAAGCTGTGGAGAAAGGAGAGAGGGAGGAGGACAGGGACAACAGCGATAGGGAGAGGGAGAGGGATGAGAGCGATAGGGAGAGAGGTAGGGATAGGGAAGAGCTCAAAAGGAGGGAGGAGGAGAGGGAGAGGTACCGAAGCCCAGAACCTGACAGTGACCCAGAGAGGGAGAGGGAGAGGGAAAGGGAGAGAGAGAGGGAGAGGGGAAGGGGCAGGGGGGGCAGGGGGCGAGAGGACGGGGAGTACAGTGACGACGCGCGAGGAGTGGGACGAGTTTGGCGAGCGGCGCCGCGGCCGAGACAGGCGCGACGACCGTGACGACCGTTACCGAGACGACCGGGACCGGGAATGATCGTGATGATTATGACGAGCGCGACTGGAGGGACGATGACGTCAGGAGGCGGGGCGGGCGGCGGGACAGCGAGGAGCACGAGCGTGGCGGCGCAGGGGCGGGAGAGGGAGAGGGGGCGGCATAGTGGGAGAGTGCTGGTGGGGCCGGTGGGAGCAGGCGTGCCGGCTTTTTTTTTTTTTTTTTTTTGCGGCACCGCTGGATGGGTCGGGGTGGCCGCCGAGCGGGCCTGGGCTGTCGGAGCGCATGGAGGAGGTGCATGGCAACCTGTGGCGCGAGCTGTGGGACAGCGCTGAGCCTGAACCTGCTCATGTAGCAGAGGCCTATTTTCCACTTCGACCTGTGAGGGCGAGAAGGTTGAGGGTGAGGGGAGATTTGAGTTGACTCAAAATCGAGTTGACTCAAAAGCTGCAGGACAGGGCTGAGCCTGAACCTGCGCATGCGCAGCGACCCAATCTTCCACTTTGACCTCGACGGCGGAGAAGTGTGCGGGGCATTGAAGGGCGAGACGTGGGCAATGTGGGAAGTGAGGGGGTGTGGGGGAAGGCTAGTCCGACAGCACTGAGCGTGATCCTGCTCACGAGCAGCGGCCTATTTTTTTCCGCTTTGACCTTGAGTGCAAGAAGGTGAGGGGAGGGGGGTGAGTGAGGGGAATGGGGGAAAGTTTTTTCTCGCTTTGACCTTGAGTGCGAGAAGGTGAGGGGGAGGGGGGTGAGTGAGGGGAATGGAGGGAAAGAGGGTGAGCTGCTGAGGCAGCTTCTTGACATGCAAATACTACGCCCACCTGATCCACTCTTCCCATCCCCGACTCTTCACCCTTCTCACATCCAACCCCTCCCCCCCCCCCCTCCTCATCACCCCCCTCCAGATGCTGCTTTATCTGGACACAGTGGTGCCGGAGGAGCTGCTGGGGCAGCTTCTTGAAATGATCCACTTGATTCACCTACTCACCCACCCCACCCCACCCCATCAGATCCTGATCCTGCACCACTTAGACACAGTGGTGCCGGAGGATGCTGACGGGGCAGCTTGTTGCAACGCAGACACTAAACCCTCTGCCACTCCCCCCCTCTACCCTTCTTTTGCCCCACACCCTCCCGCCCCCCATCGCACCCTTCTCCCACACCCCGCCACCCCATCAGATCCTGCACTATCTGGACACGGTGGTACTGGAGGAGCTGCTGGGGCAGCTTGCTGAATGCAAGGCACTAAGCCTCCACCCCCCTCTTCCACCCTAACCCTCCTCTACCCCTCTCCACCCACCTCCACCCCCCCTCCACCCATCAGATCCTGCACTACTTAGACACGGTGGTACCGGAGGAGTTGCTGGGGCAGCTGCTGGCGACGTGCTTCTCGTCGGCTGTGCTGCTGTTGGGGTCGCGACCAGGGGGGGCGAGAGGAGCCGGTTGCGGAGCAGAGGCAGCGCGTGGCGGGCATGGTTTCCAGCATGTGGCAGTGGCTGGACGATCGTGAGTCATGGGGGTAGGCTGGTTTGCTGTTACGTGGGATTCCCGAGCTGGTGGATTCCGAATTTCCTCAAAAGGCAACAGCCATGGTGGCAGCTTCTTGTGCTTCATCCATCCCCACCCCTCTCCACCCCTTCCATTCTCCAAGAGAGCGCTGGCAGTTTGCTCCGACGAACGAGTCGAAGACTTGGAGGTGCTGCTGAGGGCGTTCACGCGCATGGAGGCCACAGCCATGGTGGCGGCGTCACTGTGGAAGCGCCTGCAGGGCTGCTCACGGCTGGTGGCCAAACTGCTGTCCGAAAGGGCCCTCAACGCCACTGATGTGCCGTCTGTGCGCCCTGCTGCCCGCTCCCATCCGTCTTCCGCATCTGCCTGTGAGTATCTGGTGTGAATGCGTCGGGACGGAGCATCCGTTCTGAACCACAATCATCTCCGCCCCCCTGGCCCCTCCTCCCCCTCTCTCCTGCATTAACCCTCCTTCCCCCTCCTTCTCTCCCCTCCTCCCCTCCGCTCTTCCCCTCCCCTCCTCCCCCCCGTTTCCCCTGCCATCCCCACCCCACACTCCTTCCCCTCATTCCAATCTGCACTCCACCAATCACAGGAGCCGGACAGCCGAACGGACGAATGGCGGGTCGTGGGTAGGCTATGGCAGGAGAAGGAACCTTCGGGCAGCAGCAGCAGCGACACCACTGGAGCAACCAGCAGCACCCCTGGCAGCAGCAGCAGCAGCTCCTCTGCTGCTCCCCCACTCCCCCCTGCTGCCGCCAAGGCTTCTGGCGGGGGGCGACGCATGGGGAACCTGCTTTACAGGCACGAGCCCACAGAGCGTGAGGTTATTTTCACATCGCCAGCGTTTGTGATTTTCAACACGGTGGACGAGGAGGATGCGGCGACGGGCGCTGTGGCGTCGAGGGACTCGGTGGAGATTGTGAAGCACCAGCTGTATGCCAAGGCAAGCTTGGATGACCTCACTCTTGCGCTCAAGGTTGCTGCGCAGGAGTAGAAAATGAATTTCGTTTTTTTTTCCTGACTATATTAGGGAAGGCGAGATGACCTGTGTGGCAGGCAAATTTGGTGGCGAACTTTATTAGGAGATCGTTGAAGCCTTACTGGTACCGTAAGTGAGGTTGTAGTGTTTTGAAAGAACATTCGAACCACTGTTGCGCCTGAAATCGTTCAGAAACTCCTGGAACATGGTCGCTACCATGCCAGGAAGGCCACCGAACCAAATTCCTTGCCTCGAGCTTGACGAACGTCGCTGTACGCGCGCAGTTGTCAGATCTTTCCAGCGCCCGAGCTGCAAGGCGGAGCTCACCGAACCGAAGCAACGAGAGAATTGCTCCAAACCCAGCAGTTCCAACGCACAAAAATATCCTACCCCGTTTTCCCGCCTCTGCCACAGGCATTCGAAACAGTATCCCTCAGCGGACATCTCCAGCTCCGAAACCGTGACCCCGTCAGCGGAGTTCACTTCTGACGTGGGCTGGGCTAGCCTTCCGGTGGCGCGTCCGAACGACCGAACCCAGTTGGAAAAGGCGCGACTCCCGTCGATTTGTCCGCTCCGAGGACAAGTGCAGCTTACTGGTCAGCGGCTTGCTTACGCGGAATTTGATGGGCTCCCGAAGAACGCGCGTGGCGCAAAACCTGCGCCAACGCGGAACTGGATGCCGCAGACCTACGCGTTCCCCCCACTTCCCGTCTCTTTCCGTCAGTTCTGTCCAGTTCTGTCACACCGTCACTCCGTCATTCCGTCAAGTTTTTGCCAGAGAAGGATCAGTGAGCATGAGGGCTGGAGACAGGTCACAGGAGCAAAGCGTGCAAGTCCAGCAGTTGACAGATAATTGCAACACATGTCCGACGAGGTTGGAGTGTGCTTGTGCCTTCTCAACGAGCCGTTGAAGGAGATCATTATCAGGCACACACACACGAGATTTGAGGGATTTCAGATTCCTAAGGTGGTCGCTAGATTATGATGGAAAAACCTGAGCAGAAACCCTGTTAGCGCCTCGACTCGTACGGATGCTCGTGCGCCTTCGACCAGAAAACAAGCTTCATAGTTCCCTGAAATTCTGTCTCTTTGGTTGGAGTCCAGAATTTGTCATATAAAGTAAGTTCAGTTAGAGTTAGTGCCTTTCAGATGTCCCTTGCATATTTTTTAACCCTTTCTTGTAGTTACCACCAACATTAGTTACACAAGGTACGATCAATGGTGGATCCTGAAGAAGTTAATCCACTCAACAGTAGCAGCAGTAGCCATGGCAGCAGAAACCCGCCAGTTCCGTCTAGTCCGAGTCAACCCAGGGTCACAGGGCCTGGAATCCGTAGCGGTTCGACTCAGCATGATTCCACCAGCAATGTGTTGACCATGTTTGGTTCGAGATTTTCCCCCATCGAAGCGTTGTCTAGAATCCTTCGCGCAACTAGCGGAGAAGAGCCCAGCTCCAGCGGACGACGCGGTGGTCAAGCACCCGAACGAGCCAATCAGGAGCGACACCAGCTCCTTCCGCAATGGCTATCTGACAGCACTGACGGCCGTCAGCTTCAGCAGCAGCAGCCACGTCAGCAGCCACGCCAGCAGTCTCAACGGCAGCAGGCGCACGAAAACGGTCAGTTTGTCAGCGCTTCGGACTCGGATCAACAAGAGCAGCATCTATTCCACCGCGTTGTCGACGTCGCGGGATCTCCGCCGTTATCCGCGCTTAGTCTCGGTCTCTCCTCCGCGTTTTTCGGCTCAGATCAGCGCGCTGCTCCTGTGCGTCGAAATCCCGGCCAGTCCCCTCTTCTCGCCAGCCAACCCGTTACAAGCAGTCGATCCGCTACAAGCGGTAGCTCCCCGCTCATCCTTTCTGACTCGAATTCAGAAACTACGAGAAATCTACCAGGTCTAGGAACTAGTGGACCTTTTGAAGGACAGACGGGAGAAGGGCCACGTGTCACGCGGTCGCACCCTCCGCAGTTGCCGCCGCTGCCTCCTCCAGCGATAGCACCCGCCTCTCAGAAGCGCGCCGAGCGTTCTGCGACGGTCAACGATCAAGAACGAGTAGATGATTGCCACGTGGAAGGACGAGGGGAAGCGCGCGCGCGCGGGGAAACTCGTGGGGAAGGGGAAGGGGAAGAAGGACAAGGGGGAGATTCCGCGCACCCGAGCATCTTCTCCGCCAACGGGGATGCCGTTTCAGGGTGCCGTCCTTATGAGACTCCGCCACCCATTCAGCGACGGCCGTACGATGCCCACGTGGCAGTATCGTCGACCAATGGCGAGCCTTTCAGTCTCCGGAGTCTCACTTCCCCCCCAACTCCATCCCAGATGGCAATTCTCCCCGCATCCTCCGCCGCTTTGCACGCCTCGCCTTCGTTATTGTCACTTCCGGGTAGCTTAATAGAGGGAGCGGAGAGGCGGGAGAGCGACGCAGGCGGGGAAATTCGGCTGGATGTGGACTTGGGAGGGGTGGAAGGGAGGGGGGAAGAGAGACGGAGAGACGGAGCGCATGGTGCAGCGGGTGGAGTTGGAGGAACGGTTGAAGGAAGGGGATCGGCAGGAGAAGCCGAAACAGCATCAGCAGTGGGAGCAGGTGCAGGAGCAGGAACAGGAGCAGAAGGTGGCGCAGGAGCAGGAGCGGCAGAAGCAGGGGCAGCAGGAGCGGCAGGACAAGCGGGGGTGTTAGCGGTAACAGGGACAGCAGGGAGCGAAGGTGATTCATCAGAGACGGCAAGCGACGCCGCAGGGGAAGCGGCGGCAATGGCAATCATAGGAGCAAGAGGGGGAGGAGCAGGGCGAGCAGCTGGAGCGGCAGAGGGACGGTCGGAGACACAGAGGGGGAGTCCCACTGGTGGCAACCCTGGTGAGGACACGGACGAAGGGGCGAGAGGAGGGGGAGGGGAAGGGGGAGGCGGAGGCGGAGGCGGAGGCGGAGGGGGGACGGTAACGCGCGGGTCGGACATGCACCTGGCTGCGCGGAGCCTGGAGCAGGCCGTGCCGTTCGCGTTCCTGCTGCTCTTCGTGCAAGTCCGGCAGCACCTGATTGGTGAGTGGGGAGTGAGGCAGCACCTGATTGGTGAGTGGGGAGTGAGGCAGCACCTGATTGGTGAGTGGGGAGTGAGGCAGCACCTGATTGGTGAGTGGGGAGTGAGGCAGCACCTGATTGGTGAGTGGGGAGTGAGGCAGCACCTGATTGGTGAGTGGGGAGTGAGGCAGCACCTGATTGGTGAGTGGGGAGTGAGGCTGGTCAGCACAAGAGCAGATTCAGCTGGCGTTGTGTGCGTGGGCAATCGAAGAATAAGCGCAATTGGCGTTTGGGCTTGTGTTGCCATGCATGCGTGGGTATGAGGGTAAGCATGCGTGGTTGTGTTGGCATGCATGCGTGCACCAACTCACCAACTCACAGCACGCCAGCGCGCTAGCATGCTAGCACGCCAGCACGCCGGCACGCCAGCACACCAACTCACCAGCACACCAACTCACCAGCACACACGTGTATCTTTCTGTGCTCTCCCTCTCCCCACACAGGCTTCTGCACCGTCGTGTGGCTGACAGCGACGCTCTTCAAGGCCAACGACTTCATCCGCAAACAGGGCGCACTCAAGGTACATTGCTGTCCGTCTGTCTGACTGTCACCCCTTCCTTATAAGAACCACTTAACATGCTGTCACCGTCAGGTAATAAGAACCGTGCCACACCCTTCAGGTCATAAGAACCGTGCAACACCCTCTCCGTGAACCTTCCCCACGTGCCCTGCTCATACTCCCCCCATCGCCCTTTGCTTCTCTTTCCCCCTCCTCCTCCCCCTCCCGCTCCCTTGCTCCTCTCCTCCCCCTCCCGTTCACGCTCTCCTTCCCCTCCCTTTGCGTCTCCGCGTTCTCCTCTTCCACCTCCCCTTCCTTCCTCTTCCCCCGAATTTATTGCCAGGCGGACCGCAATCCGGTGCTGCTGGCACTGGCAGCTGTGCTGCTGCTTGCACACGTGGCAGTTGTTAATTGGCTCTTCTGGCCCGAGCAGCTGTGGAGACCGCTTCTGCTCATACCGCCTGCTGAAGTGCCCCCTTTCTGGCATGCTCTCTTCATTATAGTCACAAATGGTGAGTGTTCGAAAACTGCATGTTTTGTGTATGTTCTTACGGATGCTATGTCAAATCTGCTATAAGGTGTTGATTTCAGTATCAAATCTGTTAAACTCACTTCAGTAATGAAAATCTGAAAGGAAACCGTCTCACAAATCTTAACAAGAAAACTGTCTGTGCGAAATTGCATTTCACCTCGCCTATTTTCCACCGCTAATCTTCCTTTCCCCTCTCCCCACCCCTGATCAAACATGTGGTTGCCATCAGACGTGCTGGTGCGGTTCGCGGCCATGGCAGAGAAGTGTGGCATCCTCGTTGCATTCTCGCGGCTTCCTCGTTGCATTCTCGCGGCTTCCTCGTTGCATTCTCGCGGCTTCCTCGTTGCTCCACATTGTTTGTCCCACTCCCCCATCCCCTCCTGCCTGCCCATCAGACGTGCTGGTGCGCTTCATGGCCATGGCAGTGAAGTGTGGCATCCTCGTTGCTCACCGCCGCAGCAAGGGGATGCACAATCGCCACCAGGTATGCACGGCGTGTTAGGGTGGCGAGTGCCGTTTGTGTCGACTCGAAAGTCACTACGTTGCTCACCGCCGCAGCAAGGGCCTGCACAATCGCCACCAGGTAGGGAGTGCGTTTTGGGACATCCAGCACCTTGCAGCACGCAGCACCATGCAGCACCATGCAGCACCATGCAGCACCATCCTCGTTCATTGCACACCACTGCAGCAAGGGTCTGCTCTCAGTGTACCAACCTTCTCTTCTCTCTATCTCTCTCTCATTCTCTCACCCGTCCCTTAATCACCAGCCGCAGATTCCAGCCCTCGTGTAAAATACACATCCCCGGTAGACCATGCTTTTGTGCCGGCACCCGTGTGGTTACCATTTGTTGTCTTGTAACTCTCTCCATCACTCTCCCTCTCTCCCTCATAGCTTCCCTCTCTCCCACCAGGCGCAGATACTAACCTGCATGGAGTATCATTGTATCCCCCTATCCCCCGCTCTCTCTCCCTCCCTCCCACCCATCCCCCCTCTCCCCCACCAGGCGCAGGTCCTAACCCTAGTGGAGTACACAACTCTGCTCTACCGTACCTGTGTGCCAGCACCCATGTGGTTCCAAATTTTTATAAATTCTCCAAATTTCCCAGCATTCTCAATGACCAGGCCTATGGCCGACTCACCGTCTCCCTCACCGCCTCCCTCACCGCCTCACTCCTTCCTCTCCCCTCTCCCCTCTCCCCTCTCCCCCACCAGGCGCAGGTCCTAACCCTAGTGGAGTACACGTCGCTCCTCTACCGTGCCTGGGTGCCGGCACCCATGTGGTTTCTTGCCAGTCTGTTCTTAGCTGTATGATTGTTTTTTCCTCCTCCCCCCCTCCTCTCTCCCCCACCAGGCGCAGGTCCTAACCCTAGTGGAGTACACGTCGCTCCTCTACCGTGCCTGGGTGCCGGCACCCATGTGGTTTCTTGCCAGTCTGTTCTTAGCTGTATGATTGTTTTTTCCTCCTCCCCCCCTCCTCTCTCCCCCACCAGGCGCAGGTCCTAACCCTAGTGGAGTACACGTCGCTCCTCTACCGGGCCTGGGTGCCGGCACCCATGTGGTTCCAAATTTTTATAAATTCTCCAAATTTCCCAGCATTCTCAATGACCAGGCCTATGGCCGACTCACCGCCTCCCTCACCGCCTCCCTCACCGCCTCACTCCTTCCTCTCCCCTCTCCTCTCTCCCCCACCAGGCGCAGGTCCTAACCCTAGTGGAGTACACGTCGCTCCTCTACCGTGCCTGGGTGCCGGCACCCATGTGGTTTCTTGCCAGTCTGTTCTTAGCTGTATGATTGTTTTTTCCTCCTCCCCCCCTCCTCTCTCCCCCACCAGGCGCAGGTCCTAACCCTAGTGGAGTACACGTCGCTCCTCTACCGTGCCTGGGTGCCGGCACCCATGTGGTTTCTTGCCAGTCTGTTCTTAGCTGTATGATTGTTTTTTCCTCCTCCCCCCCTCCTCTCTCCCCCACCAGGCGCAGGTCCTAACCCTAGTGGAGTACACGTCGCTCCTCTACCGGGCCTGGGTGCCGGCACCTGTGTGGTTCCAGTTCTTTCTCAACGACCAGGCATACGGCCGCCTCACCGCCTCCCTCACTGCAGGGCTCTACCTCGCGTTCAAGCTCTCCACCTCGCTCGACAGGGTATGGCATGCTGCTCTCGTCATCTTTCCTTAGGCGCCTCAAAAGTAGATAACTAGTTGTATGGCCGACTCACCGCCTCCTCATTGCTGGACTCTACCGCGCCTTGAGCTCTCCACCTCACTCGACAGGGTATGCTTCTCATATCACCTGGTACGATATGGCGACGTCACTTGTGCGCATTCATTGTTTAAGCTCGTCGCCTGGCGCCTCAGAAGTGTCACTCGTTCTCAATGGATTCTTCTCATTGCTGTACTGCTGTTTTTGTGTCAAGTCTCTTTGATTCCCTCTACTTGTTGTGTATCGTTGAGCCATGCTCAACAATTCGTCAACAGCTACTCAGTAGTTGAAGGTCATGGTCGGTCACTCCTCTTGTTTATCTTAGAACCATGCTCATTAGTTTCACAATATTTTCTGTTTTGCTGGCTGTCCCTCTACAGTCCCTCACTCTCTTCGCTTGTGCGACAGGTGCCGCTCTTTGTCTCCACGGATTTACAGTCTCTGGGATTTTTTCAGTTAATCCAAATACTGAATCAAACCTCTCTCCCCTTGTGCGCCAGGTGCTCCTCTTTGTGTCCGCTGTTCGCCAAGCGGTTGGGAAAGGCGAGCAGTATGGGACCGAGGCCACGCCTGACGAGGTATGCTTTTTGGTGAAGGGGAAAGATTCCAAAAGCAGTATGGCACTGCGGCCACAGCTAGCTAGGTGTGTATGGTCACAGCAGAGTACACATGGCCATTCTAGGGGAGGGGACGAATGGCCATGTGGTGGACTCTGCTTGCAGGCAGAGGAGACAGCAGAGCGATGTGGCTCCAGGTGAGTGAACAGAGGAAACTGAGAAACTATTGCACTCAAGCACCCGAGATGGTATGGGGTTTGTGAAACGAATTTTGAGCCAAAGTAGGACAGTTTCAATAGGTTGATTGGACAGTTTCTGTGAAGGTTCTTTGGCTGTCGAGGGCGTGTTTGCTCGGTATGACTGGTTCTGACTGCATGCGGCTGTATCCCTGACCTGCATCACTATGAGCTCATCACCTCACATTGGCTCAAATGTGTTTCACGACCTCCTTTCACCCCTCTCTCTCCTGCTGTTTCTGCCAATTCATGCTGATCCTGGGCTGACCAGCGTTCATATTCGGGAATGTGCATACTTGCACCTTTTTCTCTCTTTCCTCCTTTTTGCCCCACCAGGTGGCAGCAGCCGGCAACATGTGTGCCATCTGCCAGGAGCACATGACAGGCCCTGTCACGCTGCGATGCCGCCACGTGTTCTGCGACGAATGTGTCTCTGAATGGTAAGTTACGATTCATTGGTTATCTAGTAGTCATGAAATGGTCAGCAGCAGGTGTGCTGTATCATCAATCGCGTTGGTGGTAATGCACTGTGAACCTCATTCTGTTTCACCCGTTTTCATGACTGTTGGTACAGTGCGTTGTAGTTTCTGTACTAACTAGTTATTTCCATACTCATCCATCCATGGCAGGTTTGAAAGGGAGCGGACCTGCCCTCTGTGTCGCATGGTGGTTAAACCAGCAGGGCTACGCTCATTCAGTGATGCCAACACAAGCCTGCTAGTTCAGCTGTTTTGAATTGCCTCCACCATAGCAATTAGGTACATTAGTTTATTACTTGCAGTGCAAGATCCTTCAACTTGCTACATACCAGCACACATAACCTACTGGTACTACATACAGGCACATTCAATCTGCCATGTATACATATGTCTTGTCAACCAGCCACAGAACATCGAAAGAAAAGAATCATGCCAGCCAAGGCCGTCAGTAAGATAAGATCAAATCTGGTCCACTTGGATTTTTATTGTAGTGCGAGGTGAACCAGCATTCAGTGCCACTCAATTTTCTCCAGCATTAAGGCCTGCTAGGCCCACCTTCACCACCTGCTGCAGCTCCACCAGCACTACCACTCCGGCCCCTGTCAAGGAGAAAGTTTTTTAAAGAAACGGACAAAGACAGCAAGAAATGAAACACAGCAGGAACAAAATTAGAATGTCTACCACAATTCCTCAAGTCTGTTACAGGACGAGACATCCCAACATCATGACCCTACCTTGTGGAAAAGGGAAACCACACATGTGGAGAGCACACTAGCATTTATGCGGAGGGCACATGAACACACGTGGAGTAAACACCAATACTGTGAGCCAGCACTTGTCATGGGGTGGGGGGTGTTAGAATAACCTCTAACCACCTACCTAGGTGGAACACCAGAAATTTGAGGCGCCTCAAAACTCAAGGGAGGAGGGGGGGTTGGGATAGTCTCAAACCACCTGCCTAGGTGGAGCGCCGGCGCTGCCATTGCGAGGCGGAGGAGGGGAGCGCCCACGGCCACGGCCACGGGGTGAGGGCGAGCGGCTGTAGCTGCGATCCCGATCTTCATTGGAATAGCTGGGCGATCTGGTAGTGGATGGGGTGGGTGAGAGAGGGAGGGAGGGAGGGAGGGAGGGAGGGAGGGAGGGAGGGAGGGAGGGAGGGAGGGAGGGAGGGAGGGAGGGAGGGAGGGATAGAGTGGAAAACGTGGGTGTAGGAGGGGGGAGGTGTATGATCAGCAGGCGTACCACGGAAGGAGACCTGAAATAACCCAGCCCAGCAGTCGATGAAGACAGGAGGGAAGCGAGGAGAACGCGCAGTGCAGGGATGGTTGCAGTGGAGGAATCATCCAAAAACGGTTGCAGAGAATGGTTCATATGAGGGACCAATCCTACCTGCGCGGAGGGCCGCTGCGTCGAGGGGGAGGGGAGCGCGAGCGGCGGCGAGGAGGAGGCGAGAAGGAACGTCGGCCTGGAGGGGAGCGCGAGCGTGATCGTGCTGATAGGGAGGGAACAGATGCGAGGAGCGGAAAGGAAAACGAGGGTCAGGCACGGAAAGGGTGGCGGACGAAGAAAGGGAGAGATATGCAACTGATGGGGAAAATGGGTTCAACGACGGACAGTGGAAAAGGTAAAGAGTGGTGGAGATAGGAGAGGGAGGTCGGGGAGGGGGGGGATGACATACATTAAGAGCTTCATGCTGATTCAACGAAAAGAAGCAGCAAGCAAACCGTTCCATTGGAATTTTCACGCAAAACGAGCGGGAAAGATGCAATACAGGTCTCTCACTCAATACTCACAATAGCCACGGCGTCTACCGAAGGATGGACGGTCCCTAGAGCTAGAAAGGAAACCAACAAAACGCACACACACGCCCGCACACACACACACACAGACACACATATCCGCACGCACGCACACACACATGAAGCGGAAAGAATTAGGCAGATGGCATGGATCGTGTTACAATCATAATATTTTTAGATTCTTAGCAAACTCAATTGGTATCCCTCTCTGGTTGACATCGGAGAGACTTCGATTACCCTGATCAAATACTTAAATTTTCACATGGCAGACCACACATGGCATACTGACCTGTATCGCTCCCTGGTGCGCATCTCGTCAGGCTTCTTGCGATTCTCCTCCGCGAAGACGACCGTGATCTCCCTGCCATTGAAGTTGGTCCGATCCAGCTCGTACTGCGCGTCCTCCGCATCCGCCATGTTCACGAACTGGTAACCAGATTGCGATATCATGCCACCACCATCACCACCATAAACAGTTACAAAATTGGAGCCTGTTCAGAATCATAAAAAAAAAACTAAGAAAAACATGTTCGTAATGTGAGGAGAAAACAAAGGGTGGTAAAGAGAAATTACCTGAACAAATCCGAATCCACGTGGTTCTCTGCGGCAGCCAGGAAAGCAAGGGGAGAAGGCAAGCGAAACAATGTCAGCGGCCTTTATAATACGACGATCAATGTATATTGTTAAAGCAAACCAGCACATGACATGGTACAATGGAGAAACTGGGGGGAACGAAAACGGATCGAAAAAATAATGAGGGAGAGTGAGAGGGAGCGAGTTGCGGGGAAATATAGGAACATAAAAAAGGAAATGCGAAATACGATGGTCAACACGACGATGACCGACCTGCCACCGTGACATGCAACCTGCGATTGACGTCCTTGTGCCAAGCTGGAACTGCCATGAACCGCCATGAGCTGACACAGGTCGCACTTCATAGCTTGTGCCCTTCGAGTCACTTGTGTTGTGCAATCCTCTCGTTACTTCCATTGCCCCTTCTAGGTTTCCCGTCAAATCAGCAAGATTTCACGCAACTCCGTAACTTCGCTTGGCTTGGCTTCACTTCGCTTCAAGCTCATCTTTCCAGCCTCGTCACTTCTGAGACTTGAAAGCTTGACCCAATAACAAATTGCCTCTTCCCTTCCCTGCCGTAATTCCCAGAAACCCGCAAAGGCTGAAGTGTGAACAGCGAGACAAGCAACAAAGGCTTTCTAAGGTGGGTTCACTTCACGCAAAGAATAAACTACACAACATTCGCAAGCAAACACAGCCGATACGGGTTGAAGATTTACCAACATACCCTGTGTGGTAGTCCTTTGGTAGGTAGACATCCTTGATCGGGCCGTATCGCTCAAAAGGAACGCGCAGGTCCTCTGGCCTGAAAAATATAACCCACAAACAGAGAGACATGATTGCACTGGTTGCTATCGATAATCCCACAAAACTTGTTACACGGTTAACGGAAAACGACGTTTAATTACGAGCAAAAATCGAAAATATGCAACCATTTGAGTTTAGAATTCACCTGGTATCCCTCGGAATGTTCCTAACCAGCAGACTAACACGCTCTTTCCGTGGTGGGGGTCCGCGCCTGTAAGGGGGGGGACTGCGGCTCCTGTCTCTGTCAGGCGGGGGACCGCGCCCGCTGGGCCCTCGACGAGGCTCCGGGCTGTAGCCGCGGTCCGGACTGTATGGTCGCGACATGGATGCTTAGATAGCAGGCTTTTTTAGTTAAGGTAAACCAAGCGAGAAGGTAGTGAAGTGTAAACCACAAGCTGATTTGAGGAGCTTAGAAACCCTAGCTTGGAGAGGTAGGCTGACAAAACTCCTTGTGAATGGCTTTGCGGGGTGACATGAGGTATCATATTTTGAAGAGGTTAGTAGCGGTTAGAGACGGTGACATCAGCAACCGCTCCGAATTACACAGCGTCGTATTCAACCTAATTTAGGACGCGGAGAAAGTAGACGATCGATCGTCAGTCGCGATCGATGTGCGGATTGGTTACTCTATTTACTATGCTGTAGCCATACTACAGTTCTCTTTTTTGCCAAAATTTCTGTACAGAGTGCGAATGCGACTGATCACTGATTGCGGGAGATCTGTCAATTCGAAAGGGGCGATCGTTACAACGTCGCGGTCGCCATTTTCGCCAATCGATCTGCCCACTCGATTGTGGGGCTCGATATTTGCAGACGATCCTGCGATATTTGCACTTGCACCGCGTCCTTACTCAGCGGAAATTGGTTGGGCTGGGGACCAGCCAATGATCTGGACGGAAGTGCTTCCGCTGTCAGTTTGTCAGAGCCACGAACTTCGAAATATGTGTAACAAAGCGAAACCAAACTCGATGTGCAATGTTCAACATCCCACCTCCAGGCATTCAAATTTTCAAATATCGACATGGGTGTTAGGGCGTGTGTGGTCTATTCTAAAGTTCGGAAAAAGGTCGAACTTTAGGTGGTTACCCGGGTCACATATTTTCGTCAGAAATATACGCGAAGAAGATGGATTTTACAGCGCACAGAAGTTCGAATGTGGAATGTGAACTTGACTCGAGTCGGCGTTGTGAACGTGCGTGCGCACGTTCGTGCGAGCGTGTGTGATTTACAGCACGTACGAGGAGCGGGCGAAACGGGCGAGGGATTGGCGAAGTTAATAATGGCACAACGAAAACATCCCACGATTATGGCTCTCTTTGGTAGCCACGTGGCAACATTTGAGGCACCTAGGAGAACCGGGTAACCTACAATTTTGTCACGCGGCTCGGCGCGTTTTTTACAAGGTCGAATTTCGGGGTTCGACCTTGTATGTGTGACTGCAGTTTTACAGTGTTGCAGTCCCGATGTTCGAGCTTCGCTCCAAATTACAATCGACATAAGTTCAAGAACCATATTCGCCCTAAAAACATAAACTTTCACAAATTTCAAAGACCACACACGCCCTTACCATTTGAAAAGGCCATCGCTTCATGGTCGTCAAGGCTCTTGGTTACTGTATGCGCTTTCGTTTAAATTCAGACTGAGCAACCTCTGCGTCTTGCGAGCTAACAGTATCAGGCGAATCTCGCGAACGACGACGTCCGGAAGAAGGCGACGACGGCGAAGGGACATGAGGGTTTTCGCACTTCCCATCGCCAAGCCTTGGGATTTTCGGGGTCGAATGCACGTCGCACTTCGCAGAGGACGGATAGGCGCGTCGAGGCGCAATGTGACACTCGTCCCCCCTTTCCAAAACATTTTCCATTCGCAATGGCTGCACGTCCCCTCTGTTCTGGATGCCCTCCTTCGAGATGCTCCTGTTTTCCTCTCTCTCCGCTTCATTCTCTAGCGGAGGCTCCTTTCTTCCAGCTCCAACAGCCTTCTGATGAAGGTCCCGCCGCGTTTTCCCCACAGGCGCGTCTGCATCCTTCGTATTTCCTTCTGTCTCATTTCCACTCCCATGGACTCCTCGCGAACCAGCAACAGCAACTGACTCCCGAACTTCCCCCCACTCCAGGCTCCGAATGTACGACGGAACGAGCAGTCCAAGGCAATCGTTACACCCGTGGACTCGCAATCCGATCGTCTGTCCCAGTCCCTGAGGCCCCACTTGGTCGGACAACACCCTAGCCGCCGTCGTGTTTTCCTCGCCAAGCGCCGAGCCGCACACCAGACAGCGCAGCCCATCCCACGCCGGCGCGGCCGGCCGGGGAGAGAATCCAGGAAATCCGTCGATGCGAACTGAATCCATATCTCCAGCGTTCCAACCTGGCTGCTCTCCAACCCAGAGCGACCAGGCCCCTGCATCACCGATTCTTCGTTCCCCGCCGAAGTCTTGCGACGAATCACGACTGTGGTAACGCAGGTTCTGTTCCTCTAGCGTAAAGGTTACTGCCGGCACGGGGTCCGGCATTGGGCGTGGCTCGACACTTGCCCTGTCGAACTTCGTGGGCATCGGTTGTGACGCGTCCGCTGCAGGCCGAATTAAAGGGAGAGCTGAAGTGTTCCCACTCGCACCGATACAAGCAGCACCGACACTAGAGACACCAACGGAGGTCACGGTAGGACCGCTCGCGCCGACAGCAGTGGTACGAGGCCACCATGACGTGGCTCTAGTAGTACCGCCCCCAGCACTGCCACCGCCTCTGCTGCTGCTGCTGCTGCAATATCGGTTGAAGGAGAGCTGAGCGCCTGCTGCTGCGGCAGCTGCGGCAGCTGCAGCTGCTGCGGCGGCTGCTGCGGCTGCTGCTGCGGTTTCTGCGGGTGCTGCGAGACCGTAGTCCGACGACCCAGCCACCACGGCTCCAAGCTTCGCGACGGTGTGATGGACAGCGCCTCGCTGCGCACCCCACGCGTTTCCCGTCAACAAATCTCGCTCCCCTGCCATGCCGCTGCTGCGCTGCCCTTCGGACTTGGACGCCCGACGCTGCGGCTGCTTGAAATCACCCCGCGGGAATTCCGCGTCGACCATCGACGGCTGCGCGTCGAAGGGTGATTTGGTGGTTATCCACCTCGCCGCCTCGTGATCCTGAGCTGGTGCTGCCAGCACGTCTCGCAGCAGCATGATCTCCTGCGGGGTCAGCGCCGCTTCATGCGGCGCCTCCAAAGCCGCCGCGTGAGTTGCCGTTGCCGCTAGCAGGTGCTGCAATGGCGCCGACTCCTGCTCTGTGATCATCGTCCTCTGCAGTGGGACTTGGTCGTGGATAAGTGTATGCTGCGGTGTTGCGTGCGGCGCCGCGTGCTTCGGTGTTGCCTGCTGCGGTATAATGTGCTGCGGAAATCCATGCTGCAATGTTGCGTGCTGTTCCGGGAGTGCGGCGTCTCCTAATCGCGACCCCGAAACTTCCCAACCGGAGCTGCCCCTGACCACGCCCTTCCCACCAGCCCCACCCAGCGCGCCCTGTAAGAAACCATCCGCTTCCCGCGCTCCTGCTGAGAACAGCGCACTGCAGATCTCCCGCAGTTCTTGCTCTTCGGCTTCCCTCGCCGCTTTCGTCGCTTCCCTCGCCGTTTCCGTTGCTTCCCTCGCCGCCACCTCCTCGCTCATCCCAACGTTCCCCAAACGAGATTCCGGCAGACAAGCGGCGGCATTGGCGCGTGCTTGCGTTGAGAGCGCGACGATTCCCAAGGGCGTCAGCATCGCGGACACGACCATCGCGCTCCGCCCGCTCCCGCCTCCACCTCCCGCGTGGAAGCGCGCCGCTGTCCCCCCCTTTTCAGGGGCCGCAGCCCCAGAGTGATTGAGGTTGACCGTTGGATCCCCGGGTGAACCCGCGTGTTCCTGTTGTAGGTGGCCGAGAGGAGCAGTAGTAGCGCCACGAGAAAGCATGGCCGCACGCGCTTTCCGTATCTCAGCCAGCAGGTACAACCGGTAGGGGTCGTTCCCCTGAGGAGGCCCTTGCCCTTCCTCCTGATGCTGCTGCTGCTGTGGGGTAGCTTGTAGTGCGGATGTCTGGTCCGGGTTTTCCTGAACCGTTGCGGCTCCTGAAAACAGCCCAGCCAGGTGGGGGTCGTGCGAGCCGCCGTCGCTGCGCGAAACGGTCCTTTGCGAGCCATCGTGCTCGGCGCGCTGCAACAGCGGCGCGCTTTGCGTTCCGCCGCCGCCGTCGTCCAGCAGCAGCGCTTTCAGATGCGCCATCTCTTCCGCGCACAGCCGCCACATCGCCTCCCTTTCTTCCGCCTCACTCCGCCCTACCACCGCATTCCACCCTCCCTCCGCCACTGACGCGCCGACAGCAGTGGGTCTTCCCGCTGAGCCGACACTGGGAAGGTCGGGGGGGGAAAGGTCGGGAGGGGGGGGGAGTTCGGGGGGAATGTCGTGGGGGGGAACGTCTGGTTGAAGGTCAGCAGCAGTGGTTCGAAGGTATGGCGCCGGGCTGAGCGCAGCGCCAATCACGGCGGGGAGCGTGGTGCTGGTCGTGCTGAGGCTGCTGGTGGGAGAGAGAGAGGGGTGGCTGGAGAGCGAGAGAGAAGCCGATGCTGCGTCGGGTGAACGCGGAAATAGCAATAACGAGGATGGACCAGGGTCGCTCCGGTGCGCGACGGGTAGGAGGTTCGGAGATCGAGCGACAATGCCAGTGAAGTCCGTGGTACGGCCGCTGAAGGGGACGGTATTGCCACTGAAGTGGGTGGTAGCGGTGGTTTGTTCGGGTGGCGACGCTGGTGAGTAAGAAACGCCGCTGGAGCGAGCTGGGAGTGTCAATGGTGAAACCGGCGACGCGTCTGCTGCAGCTGCGGCGGCAGTAGCGCTGTCGCTGGGCGAAGTAGCAGGAGCAGGAGCAGGAGTCGTGGTAGCAGTGACGCTCGGAACGGGCGACGGGGAAGTTTGTCGCGTGGAGAGTGGAGGTGACGTCAAACCCGCCGTAAGTGGGGAAGATCGAGCCAAACCCGACGCGTGATGGCGTGTCAGCAGTGGCACCGCGCTTCCCTGCGCTGGCTGCAACGCTAGATGCAACGCTGGCTGCAACGGTATCTGCTTTGGGAGTCGCGGCGGTTGCGGGGGGAAACGACGAGCGACGTCCTCTTGAAACCTTTCCCTCGGCGGAAGCGGGTTCAGCTGGTCAAGTCGGCGAGGGGTGTTTACAACGTCCGATTGACGGCCAACGGCTGTTGCGGCGTCAGAATGACGGCCAGCGGCTGCTGCAGCGTCCAAATGTCGGCCAGCGGCTGCTGCGGCGTCAATAGCGGTAGCTTGTCTCACCGCTTGCGAGGCGTTAGGCATTGAAGCGCGGGACTCAACTCTGCGAGGGCTTTCAGAAGCAGAAGCAAGGGCCGCGCCGCCATGGTCAAGCGGGTGGTTATTGAAAGCGCGACGGCGCAACACCTCCAGAACCAGCGCTTGGCGTATATTTTCCTCTCTTTGCTGCTGCTGAGGTGCGGGTTGAACGGATTGCGAACGGGAAGGCTTGGCGTGTGCGGGATAGTCTGCACAAGAGCCTCCCCCATTTCCTTGCGAGTTTCGGGATGCCTCAGAGCTCGAATGTGGATGAAAGGCACGATCTTCTCGCTCGTTAGCCATCGCAGCACTGTTGGTACCGTGAAGTGTTCAGCGACGCACGCTCAATAGCGAAAATCGCGACGTTGGAGCCTGTACACATACTAATATTTAAAGAACTGCCTGGTAAGAACCAAGCCAGTAGAAGAGGTTCACGTGGCTTTGTGACGAGCTAGTATTTTGAGATACGCGCAACAGAGGGCTAATGCTGAAATGTTGCTTGGAGATTGATGAATTGCATGGGTTGTGTGTGTGAAGTGTCTGGGATTGATCTGACTGACTGGAGAGGCTAGCTTTCCGAAGTGTGTGTTTCGAAATGCGTGTCGGTTGCAGCTTTCGCTAAAGGTAGCGATTGTGTCACGCGAAACTCTACTAGACCGAAATCCGCCACGTAACAACATTCAGTACAGCTGCGAAGTGAATTCCGCTCCCACCACGCTCCTGACGGGATGCCCCCGCATCCTCGGTTTGCCTCCTTGCTGCTCTGCTCAGGAACATCGGATGTCTCGCTGTCCTGCACAGGAACGCTGGGGCTTGCACTTGCAGTCTATTGATGAGAGTGACGGTGGTGGGGGAGTGGCCGCGGGTGACGTGACCGGTCTATGGCGGGCGGGACGCAAGTGCCACTGTGCACCACGCAAGCTTCCATGGACAGTGTGGGAAGGGCCAGTAGCCAATGGCCAGGCCACTGCACCGCAGCAACTGAAATGGTCCTACTGTACTGTACATTTGGACGTCATGTTTGACGGCCTGCTAGACCACAGCGAATGAATGAGCTTGAGCGGGACTGCTCACCACCACCATGGCACAGAAAGGTCATCCAGGTTGGACCTGAACCAAACTGAAAAAGAGCTTGATAATGATGGGTCCAGGGCTTTTTTCCCGAGAGGTTGGGTGATTCAGCTCACGCTGCATGTGAAGTGTTGAGTGAATTACTGTAGCCGCATTGGCTGCCGAATGTGAAGCAGGGCACTGATTGGGAGGTTGAGATGTGATGTGGTGTCGTTTCTGAGCGCGGCTGCATCGCATCATGTCGTTTCCAGATTCGCGAAGGTTCGATTCTGAGCTTAGCTGGCTACGCGTGCACACAGCATCAGGCCAACGCCGTTCTGTATGTCAACGGATGCAATAAATAACGAAGCAACGTGCGAAATTTTGTTCTATCGAATGCCGTTTGCACTGCACTGCACTTCCAGCATTTGTAAAAATATATGGTACGCTACGCTTGCTTTTTCTGAATGATACATGGGATAACACCGCTTGGTTATTTTGTGCACCACTTTTCAACACTTGATTCTGCCCCTGCCTGAGTATAATTAACCAAGGTTGTGAAATCAGCATTGGCTTCCCTATCGTTGCATTGCAACTTGTACTAACTGGGAACAAATCACCTAGCTGGAGCAGTGGTGGCAGGGATTGCAAGGCTAGATGAGGAGAGGGCAGGATTATCAGGACCCAAATGGGCTGTTAGGTCTCTCTCGACTGCTGCCAGAAGCTCATCATACTGTGATGCATTCGGTTGTGCCTGAACATAAATAACATCAAGAAGGGGGAAAATTATGATCAGACAAACAGACATGCAGAGAACAAGCAGGGAAGGAGGGGAGAGAGCAGGGAAGCCCGGACATAGGTGGGCTGGAACGTTGCAGAGCGCACTGCCAACATCCCATCATGCTGAGACAGTCAAGCACAATGCATTAAGTTGTGCGTGGTCTAAGGTAGGGCCGACCAGAAGGAATTGTGAGACATGTTCTCGTTATGCTCGACTGTGACTCTTGTGTGAATGATCGTGAATGAATAAAGAGAAACTGCAAGACAAACTCACCTTGAAAATGCACCAGCCGTGGCACATACCTTAAGAGCTCTCACATAGGCAGTCCACAGCTTCATGTCGTTCTGGAATAGCTCTGCCAGCACCTGAAGGGACACATCACACGCACAAAGGGCACGTCACACGCACAAAGGGCACGTCACACGCACAAAGGGCACGTCACACGCACAAAGGGCACGTCACACGCACAAAGGGCACGTCACACGCACAAAGGGCACGTCACACGCACAAAGGGCACGTCACACGCACAAAGGGCACGTCACACGCACAAAGGGCACGTCACACGCACAAAGGGCACGTCACACGCACAAAGGGCACGTCACACGCACAAAGGGCACGTCACACGCACAAAGGGCACATCACACGCACAAAGGGCATGTCACACGCACAAAGGGCACCTCACACGCACAAAGGGCACGTCACACGCACAAAGGGCACGGGAGGAAACATTTTTTTGAGTCAACTCAGAAATCGGCTCTGCCAGCACCTGCTGAGCCACACACCAAGGGCACAGGAGGAAACAACAATGATAATCGTCAGACACATGGCGACCGGAAAGAGTTGGATGCAAGTAGTGGTGCCTACGCAGGTTTGGTGAATGAGCAAGGCTTGGGTTAGCAACTTACCTTCTGCACACATGACCACCCTGCTGGTTGAATCCAGGCAAAGCGGGCTGCAGTTAGTACAGCCCTTCACCAAAACAACCCTTCACCAAACAGCCCTCCAACCTCAGAGAGTGTTTGGAGCTGTTCAGATTGGCCGATCGTCTCACCTCAGATCGCTGCAGCAGCGTGGCGAGCACGACGGTCCACTCATGAAAGCCCACGGTGCGCACGTGAGCCAAAAGGAACTCCGCATCCAGCCTGCTCTGTAGATTGCCCTCCAGGGCGATCTGGGGGGGGGGGGGGGGGAGCGTGTTGTTGAGGAGGGAGGGATGCAGCAGCGTGGCGAGCATGACAGTCCACTCGTGGAAGCCCACGGAGCCAACAGGAACTCCGCGTCCAGCGTGGGTGGGAGGGGGAGCGGATGATTAGCGGGGTAATGACATACATAACAAACCCCTTCCCTCTCGCCCCTCCCCCATCCTCTCCCCATGTATGCTGCAATGCAACACCGAGTCGTACCTTGTAGCGGATGGTGCGCAGAGCAGTGGGAAAGAGGTGACTTTTGAGTCGACTCAAAAGTCACCTGTGCTGCAATGCAACCACGAGTCGTACCTTGTAGCGGATGGTGCGCAGGGCAGTGGGAAAGTCTTCGAGGCGAATTGACCTGCCTCGATCCGACCGCAGGAATTCCTGGTAGGGCCAGTGCATGGGGCACGGGACACGGAGAATGGGGAATATGGCATGGGGGACGGGGAGTGGTGCATGGAGCACGGGGAATGGTGCATGGGGAATGGGGAATGGGTTACATGTTGATGTTGGTGCAGGAGCATGGCACAGCACAAGCGCACGCAAGCTTCAATGTCAGTCAGACTATGGGCTTGGACAATGGCCTTGACCATCAACATGCTGATATTTTAGGCGCCTAAAAAATACAGCTATGGACAATCGCCTTGAACATCAACATGCTGAGCACCTTCTGTGCATACAAACGCTATTGAGTCGACTAAAAAACATGCGCACGCAAGCTTCAATGTCAGTCAGACTACGGGCTTGGACAATGGCCTTGAACATCAACATGCTGAGCAAACTCTGTGCATACAAAGCCACTCACACTGAAGCTAATGTGGGTGCCCTTGGGTGCCCTGGCTGGCTCTCACATATCGGCCTTCAAACGCAAACAATATCTAGACCAATGTTTGTAGGGTTGATGGATAGATAGTCATACACAAATAGAGCAGCCCTTACAGTGAAGTCGAACTGGGTGCCTTCAACAAACGCCACGAGCTGCCCTTGAGTCGACTCAAAAGGCACCTAGATACACAAGTGCAGCGCCCCTTACAGTGAAGTCGAACTGGGTGCCTTTCACGAACGCCACGAGCTGCCGGAGCTCCTCGCTGCTCATGAGGGCCGTGGCTTTCTCCCCCAGTATGTGCTTCACCGTCGTGTGCAACACGTCCCCCCTCGCCTTGGGGGCTCTGTATGAGAAAGGCGGGGGGGGGGGGGGGAGAGGAAGGGGGGGAGATGGAGTAGGGGGCGGGGGGTGTCAGCAGGGAGAGCGTTGCCTTCTCCCCCAGAATGTGCTTCACCGTCGTGTGCAACACGTCCCCCCTCGCCTTGGGCTCTCTGCGCTAGGCAGAAGGGGTAGAGGGAGCGAGGGGTAGGTTGGGGATGATGGGTGCGTATGTGAGGCGGGCAGGGAACGATGTGGGAGACAAGTGGGGCACGCAGGAGGAGGGGAAGACTCAAGGGGAGCAGGGTAGGGTGGAGGAGGGGGGGACTGAAGTGCGAGCAGCGGAGGGGCACTCATGTGGAGGTGAATCCGAAGAAGAAGACGCTCTTGAGCAGACTCTCGCTGGCCCTCTCGTCCTCCAGTGAGCAGGAGGAGGGGGGGAGGAAGGAGAGAGTCTCACGTGCACCAGGGCAGACAAGAGGGAAGGGCACTCACGTGGAGGTGAATCCGAAGGAGAAGAAGCTCTTGAGTAGACTCTCGCTCGCCCTCTCGTCCTCCTCCACCGCCTGGCTGTACTCGCGCCCTGACCGCAGCAGGAAGCGCACCTGGCATTGGGGGGAAAGGCGGGTTGGAGAACAGGGGGATCGGGAGGGGAGAGGGGGTGACCTGACCGGGAAGAAAGAGACGGAAGCAACAGGGGTGTCGCTGGCCCTCTCGTCCTCCTCCACTGTACCATTCACTGGCTGTACTCGCGCCCTGACCGCAGCAGGAAGCGCACCTGGGATGGCAGGAGAGGGAGAGAGGGGGGGAACCAAAGGGGGAATCGGGATGGGAGACGGGACGATGGGAAGGATAGAGAGAGGTGAAGAAAGCTAGAATTTCACTGGCCCTCTCGTCCTCCTCCTTTGCCTGGCTGAACTCCCGCCCTGACCGCAGCAGGACGCACCCCTGGGATGTGGTATGGGAAGAATGGGGAGCATGGGGAGAGGAAACACAGGACGCACAGAAAAGAGACTGTGAAGGATGCAAGCAAGGACATCTGGGGTGAACTGGGGCGGGGGGGGGAAGATTGATTGATTGAAGCAGGAGTTTCCTGGAAAAGGATTTGGCAAATATGTAGGGAAAACGGAGGGGAAGGGGGGGGGGGAGGGGGAGAGAACGGAGAGAGGTAAGAGAGTGGTGGTGGTTTGGAAAGAGAAATGGGAATAGAAGGATCCACCAGGTCACCTGTTTCTGAAGCCCTACCAGCTTTGCAGCTCTTACCAGCTCGCCTGCCAAGTCGTACATCGATTCTTGCAATGCCACCTGTAGAGCCACACACATGCACACGTGCACACATACACACATACACATGTGCACACATGCACACGTGCACACATACACACACACATGTGCACACATGCACACGTGCACACATACACACATACACATGTGCACACATGCACACATGTACACCACACACGCACAGACACATTACAGGCTGAGAGGGCACAAGGCAGCTGCAACTGCATAACCGTGAAAGGAGCGTTGGACAGGATGAGACGATTCTTGAGGCAGCTCAAAGCTCCTATCGTCTCACACGAAAGGTAAGAAACAGAGACTTTTTTCTAGAATTTCTCAAAAAAACCCTGCAACGGGCGAGCAGGCGTGGGGACACAAAGCAGGCATAGGGTGGGGAAGCCAGCACGGGGGGAGAGCCGAACCTGCAAGAGCCGCAGGGCGCTTTGCTGACCGATGGTTGGGCCTTCTAGCTTCTCCACCACCTGATGAGGGACGCGAGGGGCGCAGGGAAGGGCGCAGTTGGAAAGGCGGGAGCAAGAGGGAACAGGGAGGTGGGAAGCGTGCTTTGCTGACCGATGGTTGGGCCTTCTAGCTTCTCCACCACCTGATGGGGCACAAGAGGGGCGCAAGGGAGGAGTAGAGTAAATGGAAGAAGCAGGAGGAACGCGGAGGTGAGAGTGCTTTGTTGGCTGACGGGTTTAGGCCTTGGAGATTCACCACCACCCATTGAGGACGCACAGATGAAGACAGGACCAATGGAAAGGATGTGCAAGCGAAGGCATGGCATGAGCACGTACCAGGATGTAGCACGTGGCGGTGCGATATTGCTTGTTCTCAAAGCACTCCTCAAAGAGCCTGCCATGTGCGTGCAGTGCAGTGCAGGCCACACACACACACACACACACACACACACACACACACACACACACACACACACACACACACAGTGCAGAGGAGAGAGAGCAGGGGACTGAGTGCAGGGAAGCGGAACGAGCACAATTTGCAATAAATCACAATGAGAAGGAAAAGTGATCGTAGGCAAATGAATCATGCCTTAAAGCATGTAAAATCGGCTCACAACCACCCTTCGGTTCCTCCAACATCCCCCGTCTTGAAACCCCCACCCCTCTAACATACCCAAGCCCAAGCCCCCAAGCCTATCACTTGCTCACATCCCCAAGCCCTCTCTCATGCGTTAAAACACCCAGGCCTCACGTGTTGGAGTTGCCAGCAGAGGCAAACAGGTCGGGCCAGTGGCGGCTGTCGGTCTTGCGCGCCACGCTGACCACCACATCTCGGTACTCCCCAAAGTGCCGGATCAGCTCACACGCCCGGTCCAGCAGACTCGGGCCCTTCTTCACCTCCTTGCGCCGCCGCCTCGCACTCGCACTGAGGGGAAGGAGAGGGAAGAAGGGGGAGCAAGGGGGCGGGGGGAGGGTGAAAGAGAGTTTGAAAGCTACGCTCCCCAAAGTGCCGGATCAGCTCACACGCCCGGTCCAGCGGACTCGGCCCCTTCTTCCCCTCCTTGCGCCTCCTCTGTGCGCTCCCGCTGGTTAACAAGGGGAAGAGGGATGGAGTGCGGAGAGGAGAGCAAGGGAGAAGGGGGTTGAGGGAAGGGGAAGTGTAAGATTCTGCGGCCGTGTGGCAGACAGGTGCATAACCGGCTCACCGGATTCCACTGGCACCGCACTGCAACCGCACTGAAACCGCACTGCACCTACCTGGAGGTCTCGGCGCTGAAGACGGTGAAGAGCAGCCACTCAAGGGAGTGGGAAACGTGCAGCCGTGTGGCAGAGAGGTGCATTCCTAGCCCACCTAAACCCACTAGCACCGCACTGCACCACTCTGCACCACATTGCACCGCACTGCACCGCTCTGCACCCACCTGGACGTCTCGGCGTCAAAGATGGTGAAGAGGAGCCACTCGAGGGAGTGGGAGAAGTGCGGCCGCGTGGCAGAGAGGTGCGCCAGCTGCACCGCCTCCTCCATCTTGTTGCGCTGATGGGAGGCATAGAAGGGGGGAGAGGAGAGGAAGTACAAGAGGAGGAGGGTGTGTTTAAGAGAGTGTGGCTGAGAGGTGCGCCAGCTGCACCGCCTCCTCCATCTTGTTGCGCTGATGGGAGGCATAGAAGGGGGGAGAGGAGAGGAAGTACAAGAGGAGGAGGGTGTGTTTAAGAGAGTGTGGCTGAGAGGTGCGCCAGCTGCACCGCCTCCTCCATCTTGTTGCGCTGATGGGAGGCATAGAAGGGGGGAGAGGAGAGGAAGTACAAGAGGAGGAGGGTGTGTTTAAGAGAGTGTGGCTGAGAGGTGCGCCAGCTGCACCGCCTCCTCCATCTTGTTGCGCTGATGGGAGGCATAGAAGGGGGGAGAGGAGAGGAAGTACAAGAGGAGGAGGGTGTGTTTAAGAGAGTGTGGCTGAGAGGTGCGCCAGCTGCACCGCCTCCTCCATCTTGTTGCGCTGATGGGAGGCATAGAAGGGGGGAGAGGAGAGGAAGTACAAGAGGAGGAGGGTGTGTTTAAGAGAGTGTGGCTGAGAGGTGCGCCAGCTGCACCGCCTCCTCCATCTTGTTGCGCTGATGGGAGGCATAGAAGGGGGGAGAGGAGAGGAAGTACAAGAGGAGGAGGGTGTGTTTAAGAGAGTGTGGCTGAGAGGTGCGCCAGCTGCACCGCCTCCTCCATCTTGTTGCGCTGATGGGAGGCATAGAAGGGGGGAGAGGAGAGGAAGTACAAGAGGAGGAGGGTGTGTTTAAGAGAGTGTGGCTGAGAGGTGCGCCAGCTGCACCGCCTCCTCCATCTTGTTGCGCTGATGGGAGGCATAGAAGGGGGGAGAGGAGAGGAAGTACAAGAGGAGGAGGGTGTGTTTAAGAGAGTGTGGCTGAGAGGTGCGCCAGCTGCACCGCCTCCTCCATCTTGTTGCGCTGATGGGAGGCATAGAAGGGGGGAGAGGAGAGGAAGTACAAGAGGAGGAGGGTGTGTTTAAGAGAGTGTGGCTGAGAGGTGCGCCAGCTGCACCGCCTCCTCCATCTTGTTGCGCTGATGGGAGGCATAGAAGGGGGGAGAGGAGAGGAAGTACAAGAGGAGGAGGGTGTGTTTAAGAGAGTGTGGCTGAGAGGTGCGCCAGCTGCACCGCCTCCTCCATCTTGTTGCGCTGATGGGAGGCATAGAAGGGGGGAGAGGAGAGGAGGTACAAGAGGAGGAGGGTGTGTTTAAGAGAGTGTGGCTGAGAGGTGCACCAGCTGCACCGCCTCCTCCATCTTGTTGCGCTGATGGGAGGCATAGAAGGGGGGAGAGGAGAGGAAGTACAAGAGGAGGAGGGTGTGTTTAAGAGAGTGTGGCTGAGAGGTGCGCCAGCTGCACCGCCTCCTCCATCTTGTTGCGCTGGTTCGGGGAGGGGAGGAGGGGACGAGGGGAGAGGGGGCGGGGCGGGGCAGGGAGAGGAGGGGATGAAATCAAAGAAGGGAAGGAGTGAGCGATGCAGTGTGGCAAAGAGGTGCACCACCTGCACCACCACCTGCACCACCACCTTGATGCGCTGGGGGAGAGGGGGAAAGAGTGACGTGGCAGAATCTACCTGCACTGGACTACCGAGCATGCCTTTTTTTAGGCGCCTCAAAAGTGTACCTGTGACTGCACTACTGAGCAGCGAGCAAACCTGCAGCAAGCACACTGCTCCTCGCTAGACCTATACTGACTCTACACTACCAACCGCACCTGCAGCAAGTGCCGCAGCAGGCAGGGGAGAATGGGTTGCGCCTGGGGCGTGGGCTCAAAGCAGGGCATCTCGGCACAGGAGGAGAGCGACAGGCGCTGGCTCACACCCACGATCACCCCCACTGCTACCAGCACACTCCCTGTAGGCTGTAGCAGGGGTACCAACATTGAACCTGTGCCTCTCTACAAGAATAACTTCTACGCGGGAAACCTGTACCAGGCATTGACCAGTGTACCTGCAGCAGGTGCCGCAGCAGGCAAGGGAGAATCGGTTGCGCCTGGGGCGTGGGCTCAAAGCAGGGCATCTCGGCACAGGAGGAGAGCGACAGGCGCTGACTGACTCCCACGATCACCCCCGCGGCAGGCGACACCCCCAGCGGGTACACCTCGCGGTCGAAGTCGAGCTCTGGGTCTAACTGCTGTACCTCTGCTGGCTGCCCCGATGCATCGTGGTACAGCGAGGGGTACCACACCTGATCAGATGTGGTGAAAAGGGGTTGGGAATGATGAGGAAAGACGGGAAAGGAAGAACCGAAGGGGAGAAGGGAAAAAATTGTGTTGGCAGAGAGAGCAGGTGCAGGCGACACCCCCAGAGGGTACACCTCGCGGTCAAAGTCGAGCTCTGGGTCAAACTGCTGGACCTCTGCTGGCTGGCCTGATGTGTCGTGGTATAAGGAGGGGTACCACACCTGATCAGATGGTGTGAGGAGGGGTTGGGAGTGATGGGAAGAGATGAGGCAAGTCGAGCTCTGGGTCAAACTGCTGCACTGCTGGCTGCCCCGATGCATCGTGGTACAATGAGAAAAGGGGTGATGCGGGGGCCGATGCTTGGTTGAATCAGAGAGCAGATGCATGAGATATCCCAGGCTGGCTGCTGCTGCACCGCATTACACCCACCTGCATTCCCCTGTGACCATACGCCCACCAGGGCACCTCCTCGATCAACGCAGCAGCAGCCTCATCCCCCCCCTGGGTAAGCCAGAAGTTCTCAACCCCTGCCACCAGCGCCCTCTCACTGCCACTATCCAGGTCCAGCAGAGACAGGTCGCCATCCGTGCGCAGCAGCATGCACTTGGTGGGCTGCCGCCTCATCGCCTCTGCCAGTGGGTCTCGTATGCTGGCTTTTCCAGATTTCCCGGTTGCCTGTGTGCCTGCTCCTCTCCTCGCTGCCCCCTGCTGCGCCCCCTCCTTGGACAGTCTTTGCTCGCTGCTGCTGCTCGTGATGGCGACTTGGCCCTCCCCTTCCCGCTCACGATTCCCCTCGCTCCCCGCCTGCCTTTCCCCCTCCGCCTGCGCGTCTGCGTCCCCTGTGCGCGGCACAAAGCGCATGGAGACGAGGGGCTTGCGCGCTGACATTATGGAGAGCTCCCGCACTGTGCGCAGCTGGTGGGGGGGGAGGAGGCATGAGGGAGCGGGGAGGGGGCGAAGAGGCAGCAAGCAAGAAACAAGTGGAAGGTTCGAGAGAGAAATACAAAGCGCATGGAGACGAGGGGCTTGCGCGCTGACATGATGGAGAGCTCTCTTACTGTGCGCAGCTGGTGGGGGGAGGAGGCAGGGGTGGGGGGGGGTGAGGAAGGAAATGGAGCTCTTCATACAGGAGACAAGGGGCGCGTGGCGTTAGAGGCTTGCGGGCAGACATGATGGAGAGCGTGGGGTGAGGAAGGAAATGTTTTTTGAGAATTCTCAAAAAACATAAGAGGCTTGCGGGGAGACATGATGGAGAGCTCTATACAGACAAGAGGCGAGGAGTTAACGCTCACGCAGTGTGGAGTGCCTTTCGATGCGCATAGTTGGAGCAGCACATGCAGTCGCACATGCAGTCGTTTGCACATGCAGTCGCACATGCAGTCGCACATGCACCGACCCATGCAGCCGCCCACTCACAACAACCAACCTGCACTGTTGACAAGTGCAGCGGCGACACGTCCCCATCAACGTGCATGTGAAACACTTTGATGTCAAAAGGGTGGCGTGGCCACAAGAATTTAGTTGGCCCATGCATCCAGCATTAAAGGCCCCCTCTCACCCATCCCTTGCACACAGTGCAGCACAGCACACCCACACGCAACCAACCTGCTCGGTGGGTAAGTGAAGCGGCGACACGTCCCCATAGATGTGCATGTGGAAGACTTGGATGTCAAAGGGGGGCGTGGCCACCAGAATGTAGTCTCCCCACGCGCCCGGTGCTAGAGGCCCTCATTTTTTTGAGTCGACTCAAAAACAGGCTCATCACACATGGATTATATGTTGAGAGAATTTTTGTTGCTTGGACGATTGGGTGTAGCTTGCTTAAGCTTTTGGTGCGCGCGCGACTACCGAATCTGTTGCGTGGCGAAGGGTTTGACCCTGCTCCCAACGATGACACCCTCGAGGGTTGAAGACGTGGCTCTTGGTGTTTACCAGGGCCACCTGGATTGGTCCCCAATTTTTTGGAGCGGGCCAGGGTGTAGATAACCTTGAGTTCTGTTTTACTGGAGGCGTTAGCTTTTCTTGTAAGGCTTCTGCTCCACTCTGTTTTCATTCTCGTAGGCACTGATGAAGGCCTGGTAGGGGATGCCCTCCAGCCGAAACATGTTTGTCTTGTTTTAATTTCTGTTAACGAGAAGAGTTCCGGTTTCACTGTTAGCTAGTGTTAAGATTTTCACTGTTTTTTCCTACTTGCTTAAGCCTAAACCTAGTCGCTGCTGCTCCCTGGAAAATGTCACAGGATCTGCTCACACAACAACTCCCCCTGCTTACATACAACACACCTGCACGGTGGGTAAATGAAGCGGCGACACGTCCCCCACCACGTGCATGTGAAAGACTTTGATGTCAAAGGGGGGCGTGGCCACCAGAATGTAGTCTCCCCATGCATCCAGGGCTAGAGAGAGACCCCCACTCTCATACCTTGCGCGCACTGCAGCGAAACTGACCTGCACGGTGGGTAGATGCAGCGGTGACACGTCTCCCTCCACGTGCATGTGAAAGACTTTGATGTCAAAGGGGGGCGTGGCCACCAGAATGTAGTCTCCCCACGCGTCCAGCGCTATAGGCCGCGCTGGGAGCGGTTGGCGGCACAGCAGCGATGACTCGTCCAGGTGGAAACGCGGGTAGAGACAGAGCTCGTATCTGGGAGGGGGGGCAAGGGGAGGGCGGCACTGTGAATAAGGGTACGGAAGAGGGACAGACGGCAGGTGGAAGCCCAGGAAGGCAGCGCTCGTAGCTGGGAGGAGGGGAAGGAGCGGGGAGGGCGAGTGGGGAGGTTTTGTAGGATGGAGGCAGACACGATGATGATGATGACCTTGCCCACCCGTTGCACAGTAGCCCGTTGCACAGTAGCCCGTCGCATTGCAAAATGCGTGCAGCAGCAACCCGTTCATTGAGCACATTCTCTTACGAGTGAGACAATGAATTGTCTTACGAGTGGGACGCCACCCGGTGGTTGCACACGATGATGATCTTGCCCACCCACAGCAGCCCCTCGCACTTGCAGCTGCAGTCAGTAGTGCAGCCGAATAACAACCCCTTCATTCACAACGCATTCAGTGCAGTCAGCGCAATCTCTTACGAGTGGGACGCCACCCGGTGGTTGCACACGATGATGATCTTGCCGACCCACAGCAGCCCCTCGCACTTGACAGCCCTCTCCTGCATCACGTCCCCAAACACGCGCCACTTGTTGGAGCGCAGGTTGTGCAGGATGACTCCCCGCCGCCCCGCCACTGCCAGGTACGACCCGTCATCACTCGCTGCCACGTGCCGGACTGGCCAGTTCACCCCCATGTACGTTTGCTGGGGGGGGGGAGTGGGGGGTGGGGGAGGGGAGGGGAGGGAGCAGGAGGGGGACGTGGGGGGAGAACGGGCAAACAGGGAATGAAATTTCCTGTTTCTAGACGGGGAAAGGAAGAGTGGGGCAGGTACGACCCGTCGTCGCTCGCTGCCACGTGCCTCACCGGCCAGTTCACCCCCATGTACGTTTGCTGGGGGGGGGGGAGGGGGGAGGCAAACAGGGTAGAAAACGCCTTTGCTGGGAGGGAAGAGGGGAAGTGACGTGGGTGAGGGGACGGCCCAACGCGCGCCCATGTACGTTTGCTGGGCTGGGTGGGGAAATGGAAAAAATCAGGCAATGAACACTCACAGAAACGCGTACTCACGGGGATGACCAGGTGCGGCACCCGCAGCCCCCTCCTCGTTGCTCTGCACCAGCAGCACTCGGTCTGAACCCGCGATCCCCTTGCATGAGCACTGTTGTGCAAACGCACACTCATCAAATTGCACACCCACCCAAATGCCCAGACACTCACCGGGATGACCAGGTGCTGCACCCTCAGCTCCTCCTCCTCATTACTCTGCACCAACAGCACCCTATCCGCACCAGCCATGGCCTGCCACACATGAGAGCTCCCCGCCACCGCCTTACTCGAGCACTGCCGCGCAAACGCAAACTGCACCAGCCGCCCCGCCTGCCGCCCCCTCACCCCCACCGCCACCTCCCCCACCATCCCTGCTTCCGCCGCTACAAGCTGGTACCCCTCTTCCCCCCACGCTACAGCCGCCACGCCCCCCACCATCGGCTCACTGCTCTTCACCACAGCGGCTGTAGCGGACCCGGCTGCTGCCGAGCCTGGCGTGGAGGCTGGGTCCGAGCCTGCGGCGGAGCTCCGGGGACTGGTGATACCAGCGGTGGTGGTGGAAGAGGAGGAGGAGGAGGGGGGAAGGAGGCTCATGGAGCCCTGGCGGATGGTGCACATGAGGCGACAGCCTGACACGGACCACACGGCTAGGCCTCGCAGCTTCCACCCCACTGCGAATGCCAGGTTGTCTGGCGACCAGCATATGCACGCCACTGCCCCCGTGTCCTCCAGTGAATACCTAGCCGGGGGGGAGGGGGGGAAGCGGAAGGGGGGGAGGGATGGGAGAGCGAGGATGGTTACCAGAGAAGGGGATGAAGAATGGGTGACAAGGGAGGCTGCAAGACACAGAGTGACACCACACGGCTAGACCACGCAGCTTCCACCCCACTGCAAATGCCAGGTTGTCTGGCGACCAGCATATGCACGCCACTGCCCCCGTGTCCCCCAGTGAGTACCTGGAAGGTTCAAGGGAGGGGTTGAGAGGGGAAGGTTAAATGAGGAATGGGAAAGGGAGACAAAGAGGAGCATGTGGCGGCAGAACGAATCAGACCACTGCCAGGCCCCTTAGCTTCCATCCTATCTGCTCTCGGCTCCCCATAACAAGACAGCACATGCTGGCTGCTGGCTGCTGCCCGCTCACCCCCACTCATCCCCACCCACGCACGCCCACCCACTCACCCCCAGTCGAAGAGCGACACAGTCCTGAGGTGTGCAGAGCTCCTGGCCAAATCAAACAGTTCAACCGTCCCCCTTCTGCTGCCCACAGCCAGCAGCTGCTGCCTCTCGCCCACAGCCACAGTAGCCGCGTCCACCACGCCCACCCACTTCTCTGGCGTCACCTCCTCCACGGGCCTCAGCCCCCTCTCGCCCGTGGAGCACAGCACCACTCGCCCATCCACCAGCACCACCGCTATCAGCCGCAGCGCCGGGGAATATACCATCTGTGACACCCCTCCCCCTGCTCCTCCTGCTCCCGCTCCCCCTGCTCCTGCGCCCCCTGTGTCTGCTCCTCCGCTGGAGCGGCCGTTGGGGGTGGAGGGAGGGGCGGCGGAGGGGGCGGGCGGGGAGGCGGGGTAGGGGTAGGAGGAGGAGGGGGCGAGTGGGGAGGAGCGCGGCGAGTGGGGCGTGCTGGGAAGACCGTTGGCTTCTGGGACGTACATGGGGCCGACCACCTCCCTGCTGTGCTTGCGCCATAGGTCCGCCGTGCCCCGCAGCTGGGGAGAGGGGGGGAGTGAAAGAACGAGAACGAGGGGAATGAGGGGAGTGGATGAAGGGAGCGGCGCGTGCTGGGCAGGCCGTTGGCTTCTGGCACGTACATGGGTCCCATCACCTCTCTGCTGTGCTTGCGCCATAGGTCCGCCGTGCCCCGCAGCTGGGGGGGAGATGGGGGGGGAAGGGGGAGAAACGATGAGTGGAGAAAGGGAGTGGGGCGTACTGGGTAGGCCGTTGGCTTCGGGAACATACATGGGCCCCACCCCACCACCTCCCTGCTGTGCTTGCGCCACAGGTCCGCCGTGCCCCGCAGCTGGGGGGGTGGGGAGGGAGGGGAGGTTGGTGATTGGGGGACGTATGGAGTCATACACAGACTGACGTACATGGGCCCCACCCCACCACCTCCCTGCTGTGCTTGCGCTACAGATCCGCCGTGCCCCGCAGCTGGAGTGCACACCACTGCACCACTTTATCGGCCGTCTTTCCGCCCTCACTTCTGCCATCCCCCTCCCTTACCTCTTCAACCCCTCTCCTCACCTCGTCGCTTCCTTCCTCCTCTCACCTCTCACTGCGCCCTCCCCCCCTCAGTTTCATGTCTACCTCCGCTCACACCCCACCTGCACACGCGTGCGTGTGCGCACTCACCTGGCCGCGCCAGGACACGAGGTGCAGGCGGCCAGTGGACAGCCCCAGCAGAATGTGATCCTCGTCTGCCACCATGCCGTTGCTGCCCGGAAGGGTAAGGGGGGGGGAGGGAGGGGGAGAAAGGAGAGCAAAGAGTGGGGAGAGGGGGTGCACGGGGGAGGGAGGGGGAAACGGCATGAGGGAGCGGCCGGCCGGCCGCCGCAGCAGGATATGGTCCTCGTCCGCCACAACGCCATTGCTGCCCGGAAGGGGGGGAGAGCGGAAGCGGGAGGAAGAAGGGGGGAACGGGATGAGGAGACAGCCTCAGCAGGATGTGGTCCTCGTCCATCAGAAGGAGGGAAAGAGGGGGGGGGGGAGAAGAGGGGGAGAGGGGTTGGGTGGTACACAGAGGTAAACGGTGTTGGGATGGGTGAGCATGGCGGTGTGAGGCGCGCACATGAACGAATCAGAGCTGTCATGGATGGGACGTTGGGAACGGCAGTGGGGCGGGGAGGACGTGCATGCATGGACACGTTGCCTCTACAGAGCGGCATGCGTGTGGAGGAGCGGAACTTGAGACGTGAGAGAGGCACAGGAGTCAAATGAACAAACGACACCTGATGTGGGAACTCTGAAACAGTAGTGTGGAAGGGGAGGGAGGGAGAGGGAGGGGGTTGGGAGAGAGGGGAGGGTGGGGTGGGGGGTGGTGAGGAAGGGGGGGAAGAGGGGGGGGTGCGTACATGGAGACGTTGTCCCCAAAGAGAGGCATGCGAGTGGAGGAGCGGAACTTAAGAAGAGAAGTACAGGAGAGAAATGCACACATGACAGTTGATGTGGGAACTTTGAAACGGCAGTGTGGAAGAGGGTGAGGAGGGGAGGGGGTGCGTACATGGAGACGTTGTCCCCGAAGAGAGGCACGCGCGTGGAGGAGCGGAACTTGAGGGCGAGCAGAGAGGGCGGCGAGTCTGGCGACACGAGGCGCAGCGGCTTGGGCGTGGTGCGCACATCGTAGAAGTGTAGCACGCTGCCCGCCGTCTGGGGGAAAGGGGATGGGTTGGGGGGGAAGGGGGATGGGGTCGGGACGAGAACGGGGGGGGGAAGAAGGGGCTTGGGCGTGGTGCGCACATCGTAGAAGTGTAGCACGCTGCCCGCCGTCTGGGGGGAGGGTGGGGGAGGAGGAAGGGAGAGGAGAGGGGTTGAAAGGAGATGAGATGACACAAAGAGAATTGGACCAGGAGGCTTCAGCACACCAACAACCCCCCACTTCTCATCACACCAGCACTGCCAGAAGCTTCAGCATACCAGCACGGCGAGCGTTTCGACGGCTTCGTTCCATATGGCGTGCAGGTTCCCACCGTCTTCTAGGAGAGACTTGTCATCTCGCACGAACTCGCCCAGCTTCACGCGGTGCTGCGAAATTAGATCAGATGAGCGATCGCAACGCAACACCAACAAGGGGGATTTGACAGGGTGGTAATCATAGGACCAACGGTAGAGTTGGGCTGGCAAGCACACCAGCGCGTTAGGGTTGCGGATGCATTATAGGCATTGATACGCAAACGGTGAAGAGGATTTGAGCCGTGGTCAACCCGTCATGCTGTCCACATCATGTCGCTCCAGCCGTAAACTCCGTCACACCTCGCAAAAGCCTTGAGCTTAATTAGATTCTGCCGACTCACTGAATTTCGGTCTAGCAGCCAGTACACTCTAATGCTAGTCCTTTTTAGAAGATGATGGTACAAACGCTTCTCAAACCCTAACCTGGCCGGAGGTCCATAGTTGAATGCAGGAGAGGTGAACCACGATCAGCAGCCCTCCGCTGATCTCCAGGTGAACGACTGGATCGTCGGGACCGCGAGTCGTTCTGAGAACCTTCGGCCATCCGTACGCGATATACATGGCCTCCACGTGAAGCCGTTTTATCTGTTTCTTTCTACTGTCGAAAGGAAAAATAGAGCTAGAACGTAAATGTCAGACATTCAACAACAGAATGGAGATCTCATGGCCGCTCTTTTCCTATCAATCCAGCTCGAACGCGAGACGACTAGAGGAGTGCTTATCTCCAGAACACCCCCCATGATGAACCTACTAATCTAGCAAGAGCGAGTCGATTTTGCATTATTGCCAGCGCACAAGCAAGATAGAGGAACTAAAGATGTTTTCCTGTCGACCCTGAGGCAGTAGTCGGCAGTGCATGAGAACAAAGCCAGTAACAGCGGTGACGTGCTAACATTACGCGTAGTATCTGGAACTAAAAAGCTGATCGCCACTTAGGCCTGACACTTATGGCAAACGGCTGATAGTCGCGACAAAGATCCTGAACACAGTTTGCTGCAATGCCAATCGGGTCTGACAAAAGCTCCCCGGTCTAGAGACCAGCGAGAGGATTGCCACAAGTTGTTCTAACGCGAACAGTACAGTGATATGTTCATGATCGTTGCTGGAACTTTACCACCGTATATCTTGTTTTATAAATTTGTATTTAGCCAATGTTCAGGTTATTAAATTCTTACTTTCCATTCGAATGTTCCAACAGGAGTCGAACACACATCATACTGTATCACTCTGTTAGTAACCACAGTTGAAGAAACTAGTCAGTGTATTCCTAATAGCATATACAGGATGGAAACCTTCGTATCAAGCCAAAAAGAATCCTAGTCGGACTAAACTTCTGGGGTCTCGCCCTTGTCAGCCGCCGACTTCTTCGGAAGCAGGACGGAGTGGATGTTTGGTAAAACACCACCAGCAGCAATGGTAACCATTCCTAATAGCTTGCTGAGCTCCTCGTCGTTTCTCACGGCCAGCTGAATGTGTCTCGGGACAATGCGAGTCTTCTTGTTATCCCTGGCGGCGTTCCCGGCAAGCTCCAAAACCTGAAAGAAAGTAGGCCAAAAGGTTAAGTACTATAATCACTCAAGCGCAATGAGAGAAAACGCAAAATTAACTGGTGACGGCTTACGCACCTCAGCAGCTAGGTATTCGAGGACTGCAGCAAGGTACACTGGAGCACCGGCACCAACCCGAGTGGCATACTTTCCAGCCTTGAGGAAACGGGCTATACGACCCACAGGAAATTGAAGTCCTGCCTTTGCTGATCTGCTCACTGCCTTCTTTCCAGCAGCCTTTCCTCGGCCTGACATGATTCTGGGAGATGAAAGCCGCGAAGCGAGTGGTATGGTCAAGAGCTAGCGGTGAGATCGACAGAAAGTTACTAACTCAAGGGAGATGTCTTAGGAAAGCTGAATAGCCCTTGTGACGAAAACTGGTGATGAACAGCAAAGCAGGACCAATATTTATGAACAACCGATGGGGCGACGAGGAGAGAATGAGCCGAACACACGAAACTATCAACCAATCATCTCAATATTTGCGGATTGACAACAGCGCCGTCGGATTACCATAGCTTCAGAACAATCGACGGTCCGAGGTCCACGTCGCTGCCACTGTTCAACCAATCATATCAATATTTGCAGATTGACAACGTCGCCGTCGGATTACGATGGCTTCAGAAGTATCGACGGCAGCACGAGGTCCACGCTGCTGCCACCGCTCGCGAACCTTTTTGCGAACAACCGAATTCAAACATGCAAATCAACTGTTACGATACTGGTTATCAAACTACAAGCTTCAGAAGCTTAAACAAAGTTGTGTTGTCATAGTCAAACATTGGTATTGCTAGTGAAGTTAAATTGAAGGCCTTGGCATATCTGATTCTTGTGGTCACATATACCCACGTTGTTTTTCTATTATGGTTTTATTTGTCATAGAACCTGGTTGGACACTACTCAATATGTTTTGTGGTGGAAATCGCATGCGTAGGAGCATGGCGAGAGTACCGGTACATCAATATGGGAGTCTGTCACTCGTTTTGTCCTGGAAAAATTCAACATCACTGACCACTCAAGGAAAAACTCGATTCACACCTCTCCCCTCGTTTTCCAATCCACCTTGTGGCTGATTAATCGTTGCAAGATCCTGAAGGGATGCGTTCGCCTCAGGTCTCACCACACCACAAACTGTATTTCACTGAATCGGATTAGTCAGAATCGGTTTGGAGAAGAGAGACCTTTGCTGTACAGTCAAGCATTCTATGTATTACAGTATACGGAAGGTTAAAGAGCTAGTGTCAACATTGTCGTCGACTCGAGCCTCCACTAAAGCATGTATGCACTTGGTATAAGAGGCCTGCGTTGCTACCAGGAACCACTGTACTTATCAAATGGGCGTAGTTCCACTCAGTGTTCAGCGCAAACGGATTCAATATTGTCACTCCCTCTGCTGTCTCTTTCGAAATCTTCATGGACTAACAGCATTCAACAAAAGTGGTGCAATGCTCATACTAAGCAAAAAGAAAGGAAGGAAGGACAAAAGATCCCTCTCACCGAGCCAAGGAAGGGCTCGCAGTTGTTGGCCATGATGATGCCGCCCTTTTACTTCATCACCAGCACCGACGTGCCCGTGACGTACGGGTACCTGCGAGCAACGCACGTGCGCACATATGCATGCGATACGAGAAAGGTGCAGGCAAGGGACGCGCGTGCGCACGCAGGCAGACATGCATGAGAAATTGGGAATGGTGCAGGCACACATGCATGGGACATCGGGAACGGTGCAGGCATACATGCATGGGACATAGGGAATGGTGCAGGCACACATGCATGCGACATCGGGAATGGTGCAGGCACACATGCATGCGACATCGGGAATGGTGCAGGCACACATGCATGGGACATAGGGAATGGTGCAGGCACACATGCATGGGACATCGGGAATGGTGCAGGCACACATGCATGGGACATCGGAAATGGTGCATGCATACATGCATGGGACATCGGGAATGGTGCAGGCACACATGCATGGGACATCGGGGATGGTGCAGGCACACATGCATGGGACATAGGGAATGGTGCAGGCAAGGGATGGGTAGGGATGAGTGAGTAGGGAGGAACAGATCGGTGGCGAGACGGAAAGGAAACGAAGCGGAGAGGCATTTCGAGATGATTCAGAGCGACGCACGTGCGCGTACATGCACGGAACACGGGAAAGGTGCAAGTAAGGGATGCGTGCCAGAATTGCAAGGGATGAGAAAGAAGGATCTGCGAAAGTGATGAGTTGGAAAAGAAAAAAGAAACGAGGCGGAGTGCGAAGATAAGAAGGGCACACGCCGACAGAAGGTGACTAAAGATGGTGTACGGTGAGTATAAGAATAGGACCCAACCACTCGACCATCTCATACAACGAAAAAATGAACGAAAAAAAGAGCGTAAAAAAACATCGACCTTTACTGCGTGTGCTTGAGATAAGAATCCGTGTCTCACTGCATGTGCTTGAGATAAGAATCCGTGTCTCACTGCGTGTGCTTGAGATAAGAATCCGTGTCTCACTGCGTGTGCTTGAGATAAGAATCCGTGTCTCACTGCGTGTGCTTGAGATAAGAATCCGTGTCTCACTGCGTGTGCTTGAGATAAGAATCCGTGTCTCACTGAGTGTGCTTGAGATAAGAATCCGTGTCTCACTGCGTGTGCTTGAGATAAGAATCCGTGTCTCACTGCGTGTGCTTGAGATAAGAATCCGTGTCTCACTGCGTGTGCTTGAGATAAGAATCCGTGTCACCAGAATCACTCACCGCATGTGCTTGACCAGATCTAGTCCGCGATCCACGGGGACCATCGGGCCGCACACGACGCCAGTGCGCTCGCTGCCAGAAACCACCTTCCCATGGCTGCACGTGGGACTGTGGAACATTTCCGGGAGCTGCGGCGGCCCAGGCGGGATGCCGAATCCGCGATAGTCGCGTCGAATCATGCTGCCTGGAGAGATTAAAGCCGGCGGCCCAAATTGCACAAGCTTTTAAAAGTTGACGCGTGGGGTTTTTCTGGTCTGGGTTTTGTCGAGTGACTCCCGATTTCGTTTTTTCGTTAATTTCGCCAAACCCAGCACTCCCTCGTATTCGCCCCAAGGGTTGGGTCTGTCCCTGAAAGTCCCAAATTGCAAGTGCGGTACTTTTCAAAGGTTGCACACTGCACTTCGTGAAGTTTTAAAAGCTTGACGCGCGCGGCCCGCAATTTGGGCCGCGGGCTTTAAAGGCGTCAGAACTACAACAGCGGAGAATCAACGGTAAGATTGGGACTGAAGCCGTGAAAAGAAATCGCGGATTTTGGTAATGCGTGAGAAAGTCATTCCTTCAAGGGCCAATCCTCGATATCATTATCAGGTCTGCCGTGCCGCGCAGCTGGGAAGGGGAGAAGGAGGGGGAGAGGAGGAGAGGGGAATGGAGCGGAGGGGTGGGGAGGGGAGGGGAGGGGAGGGAAGTAGCAGCGGAACAGGGAGCGGGGAATGGGGTGGGTAAGGGAGGGGAGGGAAGCAGCAGCGAAACAGGGAGCGGGGAATGGGGTGGGTAAGGGAGAAGAGGGAAGCAGCAGCGGAACAGGGAGCGGGGAATGGGGTGGGTAAGGGAGCGGAGGGAAGCAGCAGAGAAACAGGGAGCGGGGAACGGGGTGGGGAGGGGAGGGGGAGTGGAGAGGGATCACCGTATGTCCATTGTACCACTGTACTACTGAAGAGTCCCTCTTCCCGCCCTCACTTCAATGATCCCCTTCCCACACCTCTCCAACCCCTCGCCCCACCTCATCACTCCCTACTCTCACCTCTCACTGCCTCAATCCCTCCCCTTCCGCTCACCTCGTCTTTCCCTCCCCTCTGCTCAGCCCCCACCTGTCCGCCCGTCCTCTCACCTGCCCGTCCGTGCTCTCACCCCCCACCTGCCCGTCCGTGCTCTCACCCCCCACCTGCCCGCCAGTGTGCGCACTCACCTGCCCGCCAATGTGCGCACTCACCTGCCCGCCAGTGTGCGCACTCACCTGCCCGCCAGTGTGCGCACTCACCTGGCCGCGCCAAGACACGAGGTGCAGGTGACCGCTGGACAGCCCCAGAAGAATGTGATCCTCGTCTGCCACCATGTAGTTGCTGCCCGGGGGTGAGGGGAGCAGAGGGTGAGGGGGCGCATGGGGGTAGGCTGTAGTGGGGTAGATTCTGTGGGGTATAACCCCTTAGGGTTTTCCTACTTGTAAAACTCTCTCGATAGTTGAATCCATCCTTGCCTAAGTTTCAACATGGCATCTAGAGCACTAAGGTCTCTAGGACCTAAGAATAGGGCCCACCTTTAACTGAGTTACCTCACTTACAGCCTCACTGCCTGCCTGCCTGCCCTGCCTGCTGCGCGCCTCGGCTGCTTGCGCGCGTCACTTTTTTTTTTCGCGCGCGTCACTATTGCAGCCGCCTTAGGAGCCCGCGCGCGCCTCGGCCACTCCGTAGCCCGCTGTAGCGCCGCGCCGGCCCGCTCGCGCAGTCCGCGTCGAGCCCGCGTAGCCCGCCGCCGTGTGCGGCCCGCTTAGGCCCCGCGCGCCGCGTCTGTTGCCAGCGCGGCCCGCTACTGAGCCGCGCGCCGAGTCCGCCGCCCGCGCAGCTCGCTGCTGTCCCTGAAGCAGCCGCCCCTGGTGCAGCTGCCCCTGGACCCAGAGCAGCCGCCCCTGGACCCAGAGCAGCCGCCCCTGGCCCCTGAAGCAGCCGCCCCTGGTGCAGCCGCCCCTGGACTCCGTGCAGCCGCCCCTGGACCCAGAGCAGCCGCCCCTGGCCCCTGTAGCAGCCGCCCCTGGAGCAGCCGCCCCTGGACCCCGAGCAGCCGCCCCTGGCCCCTGAAGAAGCCGCCCCTGGTGCAGCCGCCCCTGGACCCTCGAGCAGCCGCCCTTGGACCCAGAGCAGCCGCCCCTGGCCCCTGCAGTAGCCGCCCCTGGTGCAGCCGCCCCTGGACTCCGTGCAGCCGCCCTTGGACCCAGAGCAGCCGCACCTGGCCCCTGCAGCAGCCGCCCCTGGAGCAGCCGCCTCTGGACCCCGAGCAGCCGCCCCTGGCCCCTGAAACAGCCGCCCCTAGTGCAGCCGCCTCTGGACCCTCGAGCAGCCGCCCCTGGACCCAGAGCAGCCGCCCCTGGCCCCTGCAGCAGCTGTTATAGTCACAATAGGCTTGAATGTGCCTAAAACGAAAGATAGAGAGCACAGACGGATTTCTGCACAGCGGCTTCAAACGTTGATAGCGTTCTGCTCACAGCTGCAAATGACTTGATTCAAATTGGATCTGGAGCGTCTTCACGTCGTCTACAATTATCAATTTAGATTGCACGATTTGATAAAGAATTGACGACACAGCGTCGGTTTGAACGAACGTTACTATGGCAGCCACTATAGTCTTAAAACACAAGATAGGAAGAGTTACGAGTTGGGAATGACTCCCAGCTCCTACAAACCCCAAGAGCCGAGGTACAGTGATGTGGAACAGTGCCACACTGTCCCCAACCACGAAGGGTCTCGAAACTACCCTTCACTAGGGAATGTAACTATCTTCAATATCTTGAGGTGTACCCTTTTGGCAAGCTTCGAAATCACTTGAGGCTTGACACCAAGGCTCGGGCTCTTCATCACAAACTCATCCTTGAGTTCTTGATGGGTCTGCTGCACACACCTGCGACACTCCGAACGTTCGACACAGGACAAAATAGAAACCGCGCACGACAAAGTAGAAACCGCGCGCGAGACACAAACGACCGCGTAACACGCGTCTAGCGATAACTCGCTATTGACTCGACACACACACTCGACATCATGACTCAACATTCACACACAATTATAAGCATGAAATATATATTATCCCATGCCCTCATACCATTCCATACACACACACACATTCACGCACACGGACAACAAGCCGAGTGCAAACCGTAGGGTTGCACCAACAAACTCCCCCTCGGATTGTTGGCCTTAGGATATGTTGCTCTCTCAGTTCAGAGCCATCCCAGCCAGCTTGCAACATTTCCAATGCTGCTGCTCCACCAGCCTCTTGGTCATCATGTCAGCCGGCTGCCCCGTGGTCTTCACGTAGCGCAACTCAACTTCACCCGCGGTTACCATGCTCCTCGTCCAATGCCACTTCACCCTCATGTGCTTCGTGAGTCCATGCAACACAGGGTTCTTAGCAAGAGCAATGGCACCCTGGCTGTCACAGTACAGTAGGGTAGGTCCTTGCTGCTCCTCCCTCAATTCAGCCAACAAACGCCGCTGCCACACAATCTCCCGTACGGCACGGAAGAGTGCCATGTACTCGGACTCCACCGAGCTCAAAGCTTGGTCAACCTGCTTCTTGCTCTCCCAAGCAGTTGGGCCTCCACCAACACAGCATATGAAGCCTCCCACACTTGTCATGTCCTCTGGTTCTGATGCATATGAAGCATCCGAGTAGGCGGTGAGGAACAAACGCCCGGGTTCAACACCATCCGCGCCCTTTTGGCGCCTTTGTGCCGCCGCCGAGTATTGCAGCCCAACGGTCGGTGTTTGGCCAAGATACTTGGCCACCCTCATTCCAGCTGCTACCTGCTCCTCATTAGGGCATTGCACAACCCTAGCCAGCTGCCCGGTAGCAAACGCGACGTCCGGTCGGGTGTTTACCGCCGCATACATGAGGCTGCCCACCAACGAGTGAAATCGGCGCCTCTCCTCTTCACCAACGCTCTCCTCCTCTGGTCCCTTCACACACTTGAACCCAGAGGGAAAGGGTGTAGCCACATGGCCTTCACTCTGCCCAAAGTTGGCAGCCAATGCCTCCAGGTACTTTCGTTGATGCACCCGCATGCACCGCTTCTCCACATCTCGTTCGATGTGGAGCCCAAGGTAGAAGCTCACATCACCAAGGGCCTTGCACTTGAACTTGTCTTGAAGCTTCAGCATCACCTCCTTCACAAGGTCAGAAGAGGGTGAGAAAATGAGGATGTCATCCACATAAACCACCATGAAACTCCTCTGCTCCCCCTCGCCAAGCATGAACAAGGAGTGATCGGCCGTTGAGGGAGTGAAGCCGATCCCCTCCAACACTTCGCGCAGCTTCATGTACCATTGCCTAGGGGCCTGCTTCGGCCCATAGAGGGCCTTCTTCAGCTTCCACACTCTGCCACTACCATCATCAAACCCCTCTGGCTGCGCCATAAAAATCTCCTCCTCAAGGATGCCGTTAAGGAATGCCGTTACGATGTCCATTTGCTTTACTACCCATCCTTTGATGGCGGCTCCCGCGAATAGGGTTCGCAGCGTCGTCGGCTTCACCACAGGGGCAAACAGCTCCTTGAAGTCCACCTTCTCCTTCTGCTGGTACCCCTTGGCTACAAGCCTAGACTTGTAGCGCTCGATCTTGCCGTCGGCATCCGACTTGATTTTGAAGAGCCACTTGGACGTTATCGCCGTACGCCCCTCCGGTAGCTCCACCAATTCAAACGTGTCATTCTCCTCGATGCTCTTCAGCTCACTCTCCATGGCCTTCTTCCACTCCTCAGCATCACTACTCTCCAAAGCCTCCTTGAGAGTTGCTGGTTCTCCCGGCATCTCCACCGGAGAGAAGAACGCGAAGGCACACTCCTCGTAGTCACTCTCCTCGTCGTCTTCGACCATCATTGCCGCTCCGGCCAGGGCTGTCTTGCCCTGCTTTCCCGGCACATCATAGGTCAGCCTATTAGGGGGTTGAAATCTCCTCTTCCCCCTTCCTTCCTCCTCAGCTGCAGGGACTTGAAGGCCTTGGCGTTGCTGCGGTGTGGCTCGAATCCGTGGAGCACTCGTAGTACGGGAAGGAAGTGACGGTGCACGCTCGCTCACTTGCTGCACCTCCTCCTCTTCTTCCTCTGCATCATTGGCCTCCTCTCCCCCATTCACAAGGGAGGATTGCCTCGTGGTTGTGCTGCCGCTGCTCAGCTCCAAAGGCAGCTCCACATGCTCCAAACCGGAACTCTTCACCTCCCCAAACCGCACGCCTATCTTCGCCTCATTCTCCGCCTTCCAATCCTTGTACATGAAGTTCTCCATGAACTTGCAGTCCCTGCTCACCAAGAACTTCTTGGTGAATGGGTCCCAAAGAAGCCATCCCTTGCTGTTTTGAGCCATGCCCAAGTGCACGGCCCACACCGCCTTGGCACCAAGCTTGTTGTGCCGAAGATGCTTAGGCACGAGCGCCATGCACATGCACCCGAACACCCGAAGCATATCCACCTTTGGCTTCCTTCCTAGCCACTCCACATAGGGCACCCATTTGTCTGCTCCCACATGAGTCAAGGCTCTGTTCTTGGCCACACACGCGCTCCGCACCGCATCAGGCCAGAAATATTCGGGTAGCCCGGCTTCAATGAGCAACCCGCGTGCCGCCTCCGTGATTGTGCGGTTCGCTCGCTCGGCGATGCCGTTCATTGCAGGGGAGTATGGCATGGTGAGGGAGTGCCGAATACCATTCTTCTTCAGCCACAACCCAAACTCCTTGCTCAGGAACTCTCCCCCTCGATCGGTGCGGATTGACTTGACTAGACGGTCTTGTTGCCGCTCCACCATCGGGAACCAATCCGTCTTCAACGTTTCAGCCACGTCGCTCTTCTTGGCCAGCACATACACCCAAGTCATGCGGGTGTAGACGTCGACAATGGTGAGAAAATACTCAGCTCCAGCAGCTCCAAGCTTCAGGGGGCCCACCACGTCCATCACCACCTCATCAAGCGGTGCCTTAGCCGTCGCCTCCGAACTAGAGAACGGGAATCGGGTGAACTTGGCTTGCATGCACGTCGGGCAGCCAAGTACCTCATTGGGCTCCCCCTTCACACGTATGCCAGCAACCATCTCATTCTTCACTAGCTGCTGCAAGATGGGCAGGGCCACATGCCCCATGCGCCGATGCAAGGTGAGCCAATCACACTCCCCCGTAGCCGAAGTTGGATTGGAGAATGCCGCGCTCGCAATAGCGCCCCACATACTCTCTCCGTAGTCCTCCTCCGCTGCTGCCTCTGGGTTCTCCTCACCCTTTTGCTGCTCCTTGGTTGCTGCACCACTCTCCTTAGGTTCACTGAACTTGCTGGTCCCTCCAGGTTTGCTCTTCTTGAGCTCATTCTCCTTAGCGCGACCGTTC